ACTCTTCTCTTTTGCCCACATTTGATGTTCTGAACCTGTGTCAGCTTCCTGTTTTGTACCATGTGCTGGACAGTTACCTCATGTTGCATTTAGGCGATCTCACAGCCCACATTTAAGAAGTGGAAGTAGCCACTGTGAAATCACCCACTGGTTAATGCTCTATTTTCTTTTTACTTTCAAAATCCTGGTTTCAGTGTTTTCCACCTCTGGTTCTTGGAACCACAAGAAGAGATGATAGAAAAGCATTACTACACCTCTATCCTGCTGCCGCGGTAGGGACTTGTCAAATGCAAGATTTCCCTAAAGTCTACCCGGCTTCGTCCTCTCCTTATGAAAATGAAGGCATCATTTACAAAATGAAAGTCATTACATTTTGAAGAAGACCAAAATTTGAGGAAATGAATAAAGTTGCAAGTAGGGGAGTTTTTCTGACTCAAATTAAATCCAACTCCATCTTGCAATAAATGAGTGTCTCACTGCTGGCCACATGGGGTTTAAGGCTCTTGTGTGTAAATTCTTCTTTGAGACCAAAAATATATATAACTATATTCTTATCATAGTCAATGGTCTGTCCTCGTGAACTCACAAAGACTATTTTTTAAACTCACCAAATTTATATTGCAGGTACTTCCTCTCATCGGTCACAGGCAATCCATCATTTGAAACTGGACCAATGAAAATGTCACAGCAGAATGTGAATAATGGAAGTCAGACATAAATCTACTGTTTGTTCTTGTTAGCTGCCTGGACATGTTGTGAATCACCGGGAATTAAATGGAAGCGAGGTCAAGTCAGTTTTATTTATTCCGCCCAAAAATACAATCTGTAGAGCAACGTCTGTCCTTACACCCTTGATCAAGTCGAATCAGCTCAAATATGGAGGTAAATCAAATAATATGAAACATGAGTTCATGCAAAATACTCTCTGCATCTTACCACTTGTCTTCTGACTGGCCAGTTCTGTTTGTCTCATATCCTCAGGAAGTCTCTTAAATGTCATGCGTCCAGGACTGAAATGTACATTGTTTCAATGTCTTTGTTCTTTTTTCACATAATGCATTGGTTTTTTCTCTTTGGCAGAGCCTCATTTTATCAGTGTCCTTGTGTTTAAAAGCTACGTACACCATTAGCATTTTATAATATTGGCTAGTTTCCCATCATGTGTTCATGTGAAACATCCTAACTTGTACTGGTGATGATAGAATTCAGCCATGTGGTGTTTTACAAAAAGTAAGCTTTAGTTTGAGGCGAGCTTTCTGGTGATAAACTTTCAAAGTTGACTATGGCTGCAAAAAGTTTCCTGAGCTAATAATGGTAACTTAGATTTACTTTTTTTTTTCAGACCAAAAACCCAAAGACATGTAATTTATTATGGAGAAAAAGGATTAAAAAAAAGGAACTAATGATTTGTCTTATTTGCTTGTACGTACCTTTTTTTAATCATTGAACTTTGAACGTTCAAGCTCAAAACCTTTTGAACAAATGGTACAGCAGCAGCTGAAATAATAGCTTTACAGTGTTTGACAAATAAAACATAAAACCACTCATGTAAAAAAAAACATAGTAAAGGAGTAAAGGTAATCATATGACACAGGCGTGGTTAGAAATGTGCTGATGATATTTTAAAAAAGTTCTGCAATGGAAAGGCAATATGGTGGAAAGAGAATATATGACAGTCTTGGTCTATGTTAGAAATCACTGACATGTTCAGAAGTGAGCGATTGGTTCCCCCTTGCCTTCGTTCCTAGGCTTCATCCTTGACTGAGCCAGCCCTTTAGTCTGAGCACAGTTTATTTCTTTCGTTGTCTTCCTCTCAGAAACACTCTCCTCTCTCTGTTTGTCTCCTCGGCAGGCGTTCATGGAGGATGTGAAGTCTCGAGGGCCGTTCATCTACTCAGTCTTGGAGTCAGCCCAGGCCTTTCTGGCTCAGCACCCCTTCCAGGAACCAGAGGAGACCCTGACCGATGGAAAAGGTCTGTTCCCTTCTTACTTTGAGCCAACTGCTGTGCCAGCCAAAATATCATAGTAACATGCTCTCTCAGCTCAGCCCCATAGCAGCACCCATGCAGGGGAAACCTTCCATTAGTGGCTATTAGCTGTGAGCAGTGTGCTGATGTCACACTGAGTCTGTGAGCTGGGACTAGTTAGCTCTACCTCACTGTACCATCTCATCAGATAAGTAATACAGCAAATTCGGTTGTTTTTCCGCCTTGTGATATTTGGCACACTCACCTGGAGAAAGCTGTACACTTCTCGCCCCCTGCTCCGCCCCTTTACTTCATAACTTCACTTCTGCTCCATTTTTCATGCACGTTTATCCTTCTTATCCCTTTATGGCACGGCCTCACCTCCCCCTCTGCAGAGGTGTCTCCAAGTCGGAGGATCTTAAATGTGAGCCGCTCGGTGTGGAAGCAGGCAAACGTGGCCAGTGACCTGTGGGAAAAGCTGACAGCACGCTGTGTGGACCGCCACAGGTCAGCAACTTTTTATTTAACATTGGGTTCAACTTGTACAGTAAAAGTCTGGAAATGGGTCCTTTTTGAGTGGAATTTTGAGACACCTATAATTTTCTAGATGGCACTTTATACTTATAGTCCACTATAGGTCAGGGAAATATATTGTTCATTTATCTCTCTTACAGTGCCATGAAAGCTATAGAAGCAAGTTGGTTAAACAACACATTGTAAAATATTAAAACAATTTTTTGATTTGTTAACCGTCACAGAAGAGCTTCTAGCTGAGGTCATTTGCCACATCTTAGATACCCATGTCTGTGTTCCACCAAGAGGTGTTTCATCCTTGTATTATTTGATTAAAAAATACTGTAAGTCTCCGGGGTTTCAAATCAAAAGATGGGAATCAATATATCTTTGTAGCAGAACTTTTCATTTTCTTACATTTTCATTTATTGTCACCTCTGGCCTCCGCTCAATATTCAAACAACTGAACTTTATTTAAAGTTGTTAAATGTAGCTCCACCACGCTTAGCTACAGGAATATGCTGTACATGCACTGATGTATCAGCATTAACATTAATGTCAAATCTAATGGTCTATTGGTTAAATGCCCTAATAACTGACAACAGAAAACTTTGACAAGCATGGGCACTTTTATTCATTCCCTGCTTTGGGATAAATAAATTTCTTCCTTTCTTTTCTAAATATATTTAAATCAATCAATACCAGATTGATGCTGTGTGTGTGTGTTCGGAATGTAAAGTAGGGAGAGGTTGCTTTTCACGATAGGTGAAAAAGTCAAGTTAGTAAATAATTGAAGGATAATTCAAAAATAATTTTTATCATACAACTTTTCCTCGTTTTACTAAAAGGCCACAAGGACTTTAATTTCTCACAGTGAATGTTTGTGTGGTGATCCATATCAAGGTTATTCAGCAATACATTCAAAGTAACACAATTACCATAACCTAATTACAAAATGTGGCATATCCATTTTAGAAAACACATTTATCAAGTTCTGGATGGCTAAAAATTCCGAGCTTACTTTTCAGAATATTAGAACATGTTTTTGTAGAAAAATGCATTTAGATGGAGAAATGAATGATGGTATGAAATCCTTTTAATACAGCCCTGCAGAATATGACAGGCTGTACATTTGAATAGATGATGTGGTTGACCGCATGCTCTTTGGTTTCATAATTATTTTTTTTTAGGACATTTCTTGCATTTCTTGCTTTGTTTCAAACTTTAATGTTGCATTTAGTTGACATTTATGAACTATATTTCAACCTCAGACACATGGAGCGGACATTAGAGCGTCTACTTCAGATCCAGGCGGCGATGGAGGAGCTGGCTGTGGCCTTGGAGCAGGCGGAGGGGGTGCGAGACGCCTGGGAGCCTGTGGGAGACCTCTTCATCGACTCTCTGCAGGACCACATAGACGCCACCAAGGTAGATATACCCAGAGAGCACACATACAAGCTTTTCTATCTCTTACACATACTCACACAGGCTTGTAAATGCAGACACATTATAATGATGAGTCCCAGATATAAATTACTTTCACCTGCGGAGCAACTTAATTGTCCCCTTTGAGATAATCGCCTCTGGCTCATCTAGGAAAGCACTGATTGCAACAGGTCGTAAACAAACATCAAAACAGAAACATCTTGCTTTTTTTTTTTTTTTTTTTTCCATCTCAAAAACACAGCAGAGAAATGTTGCTCATGAATAAGTTAGAGATGTGTACCAGCCTTTAAATCATGTGTTGTTTGTTGCCTGTGTAAACATCCCTGTCAGAGGAGCCGTGATCTGACAGACGATGACAAGGACACCGCACTTCAAACTGACGCACTGGCTGCATGGCCAGGGCTACAATCCTCCGCTGAATAGATGTTGTTAACGAATGACAGGTCATTGGTTTAGTCATTATGTGAGTGCCGAGTGCCGCTGCTGCCTGTAATTGTGCGGCACAATTCATTAGAAGTGAGGGCACTTCACAACAATCATGTCACTGTTTGGACTCCTGTCACAGCCAGCACATGTTCAGCTGGGTCTCTAGGGCAGGCCTGTCACTTGGCCTCATGTGTACTCCCTCACTCATTTACATTCACACTCAGACACATGAATGCATGCATGCAAATAGGACGCATCATAAAACCACGCTATGCATACACATGCATAGAGGTGCAACGAGGGCTGATTATAAATTGAACTAATCAACTGAACACTCTGTCTATAGATTCTTTACAACGTTACAACCCCTCTCTTAAACTGAAAGATTTGACTTGACGTTAGATGGGGCGGCTGTGGCTCAGTTGTTAAGAGTCATTCGTCTCTGAACCGGAAGGTTGGGGGTTCAATCCCCAGCTCCTGTAGCAACATGTCCAATTGGCAAGACACTTAACCCCAAGTGGCTCCCGCTGCTTCGTCAGAGGCCTATGAATGTGTATGAATGGAAATGAATGGGATTAGTTTCTTCTGATGGTAACTTTACATAGAGTGACATGTGGTGTAAAAGTGTTTTCAGTAGTCAGAAGACAAGAAAAGACCGATACAAGCTCAAGTTCATCAAGAATGAGAAAAGCAACAAATCCTGCCATTTCAGATATAGAACTCATCCTTTAATTTAATCTAATCATTGATTGGAAAAACTTTTCAAACACAATGGTGCCTGTGTATTTACTGTTGTTTGACTAATCTATGAGTCAATAATCTATTGATTATTTCAGCTCTACATTTATAAAGATGTATTTCATACACTCCTGCCTTTATTTCTCTGTTTAACAGTTCTCCTGCTGGCGTCTATTCACAGATGGCATACTTGCAGTTATCAGAGATCAATTTCAGGGTATTAAAAGAAGCCATTTTAATAAATATCATATCACAGTCTGCTTAAGGATTTGAGAATTGTAGAATATGAGGATCGGCTTCCACATGGTCACAAATTGCTCATGCTACAGGACATCCATCCGTTATTGTAGACAGAAGACCTCAATTCGATGTCTACAACATTTGAACTTTATTTAATAAATGTTTTCACATTAATTAACATAGCATCACTATGGAGGAATGCAGAGAAGTATCTCTAAAAAACATGTGACTCTGTCAGACATGAATCAGTCACAGCTAACAAATCCTGAAATGTTGCGTTGCAGCTTTGACTTCCAGTTTTCTTGTCTTTACTGTAAACTGTCAAATGAAGACACCAGTGCTCAGAGAATAAACGGCACACACTCGTGTTTTCTTGTCAGACATGTCTTCTTATCTATTTTGAGTGTCTTTGTTTCCTATTCTTTAGATGTAAGTTTTTAGTTAGGTTCCACACTGTGAGGTTGGTAAAAAGTTTTAAAACATCCACAGCGTAAGTTTTCAAAGACTTCAATTTTTGCTAAAATTGATTTCATACATTTTACAGAGAAGAATGAAAAGAAATCAGTTGATATGCACACAGAAACACAAACTTGTTTTTGACAGGGGATGTAAAAGAATAACAACATACACATGGGTGTCATGATATGCTGTTTTGTGAAACTGTATCAATATTCGACTGCTTTGTTTTCCATCCACCTCTCTGCTTCTCTCTGCTTCTCCTGCAGCTTTTTAAGGAGGAGCTGACGCAGGTGAAGGAGGGCATGAAGCACGTCAATGATCTGGCCCACCAGCTGGCTATCGCTGATGTCCATTTGTCGATGGAGAACGCCGCGCCCTAGAGCATCTCAACAGCAGATGGAAAGTGCTTCAGGTAAAGTTCACTGCTGGGTCCACGTTGTCTGTCTGACATTGTCTGCAGCATCACAACCAACCAATCCACGTTCTGACCTAGTGCAGGCTGAGAGCATATATGCTCAATTGGTGCCACACTAGACTTCAGACAACCTTGTTTTTTTAGAGTGAAAAGGAAAGTGTCAGTTTTAGGACAAAAGTCAGCACATATCCAGGAAGGGAAGAAGCAGCATTTTGAACTTTATTGGATTTTCCCTCACCTTTAAGATCCACACGATGCAATGTTGGTCATGTGGTTATTTAATATAATTTGTATCATCCAAATTCAATTCAATTAAAAAAAATAATAAAATCAATCAAGCTGTAGTCAGTGGGGGGAACTTTAAAAAAAAGGGGGATCCCCATCAATGAGGAAGTTCTAACTGTACAGTAGTTCCATGTCAATAAATCTTGTACATTTCACCTTTTTAAGAGGAGGCTGTACGCGTTTAAATAAAAACCTTGGGGCTTTTTTCCACTATCATTAATAAAATTAATCTATGAGCAACACATCTTTCAGGTTAATCAATCTAATAGACTTCTGTTCAGTCGGTTTAATGAGAAGCTGTTTACTGTGAAATGTCTGGAGCAGTTTTGGGCTTTTGTTAATGAGTTAGACACCAAATTAATAAAGACTCATTGAACTAATATGGGCCCTCTTCTTGGACCACCTGTTGTTTTTAAGCAGCACTTCATTTCTGTTTTGAGTGGAGCTCAGTATCTTTTTAATGAACATGTGTTAAAGAGCAAGGAAACCATGTCTATGGTGTTCATTAGTTATGGAGTGTAATGAACTACATGTTGTACAGATAAGGATTTCTATATCTTGATGCATCATGTATTGAGACTAAAAATGTGAAATGCAGTCGAAAGAATGAATGAATGATTGAAAGGAACAAATCAGGATGAAAACGTATGCACTCACACGGATGGGGTAATAGTTCATTGAATCTTAATCACTTCCTCTCCAGGGCTTTAAAAAATAACATGAAAAAAAGTGCTTTGGATTCAATGAACTGTATTTGTCCTCCCCTGGATGCTTAGCTGAATGTATGGATGCATTATCAAGGGAAGCATTGCTGTAACTCTACAGCACACAACTCTCAACCTTTAGGCTGCATTCCTCCATCAGCGACCTCTGCAGTGCTCCTCCAAGCACAACAAGACTCATTCAGCTTTCTCTGCACCCCATGTGAGAACACCCTGTTCCCACTTAGATAGCCTGTCATTTTGGCTTTGTCACGATGTATTAAAAGCCACTCTAGCCTCACCTCACCTCCTATCTGTGTCCCTGTCCTCCTCTGATGAGGATTTTAACATCTCTTCAGCATTTCGGGGAAATTAATTTCCAGTATCCACTTCACACAGTCCCGACTGACATGACTCTTTTAAGTCGCCTCTTTGGCCTTGAAATACTCCTGAAACTGCTCGTGAGGGAAAAAAATTAAAATGTTATTCAAACTGTTGCGTTTGGTTTCAGGAACTATTATTTTTTATCTGCTCCGAGTGAAGCAATTCAAGTCGATAGCCTCAACTTTGTCCCCCAAGTTGCAGGAAACAAACACAGCGACACAGAGTAACAACCAGACTTAGTAGCTTTTCATTGAAGGTTGAGTTAGTTTCCTTTTGATGAGAGTGAAGGTCTTAGCTTTGACCTTTCAACCACTTATGCACAGAATGAAAATCCCAGCAAATATTGGATAGATGCCTTTGACTTTTTGAACAGACATTCATGCTCCCCAGCTGCCATCTATTCACTGCATTTACTTTACATCTCCATGATGAGCAGCATTGTTTACAAGTAAAGCCAACAATGCTACAATTGAATATACTGCTTAAATAGGCTTTCAGAGAGAATGGCTTCCTGCTGTACAAATATAGGTACAACATTAAAGCATATTTCAAAATTCCATATACAACTCACTCAGGTGTTTTCTGGATAATTTCATAACAACGTGTCTAACTTGTGAACACACAGAACTATTTACCTGGGTGTTAGCCAAACGTCCTGTGTGCAGGGGAACGTGATGAAGCACCAATTATTCTCTGGTGTCTATCTCAGATCAAACTCACAATAATCTTGTGTCTCCCTTGCACAAAACCCACCCAGGCCAGACTGTAAATCAGCGGATCTGTAGGCCGCTAAAAGTGACAAAGCTGCACCCAGATTTGATCAAAAAAATGTCAAAAAACCCCTGAGTTTGAGGAGATTCTGGTGATTCCCCCTGTCCTACCTACTTATGTGTCTGTAAAGGATGTCACTCGATTTGTGGTGCATTCAAGCACACCTAAATTAGTTTGTTTTAGTGAACACTCTCAAGAAAGAGCCTGCAACAGTTACAGAACCCAAAATAGTTTTTTTTTTAATCTGAGAGGGAACGCCGTTCTGCTCTACTTTTGCTCCCAGAACGGCGTTCCGGTGTGTTCCGCCCCATTTCCACCCCTGGTAGTATGTGAGATACTGTATAGTATTAGTGTGGGTTTATGATAGAGCTTGTGTCTTGTGAAATGACACTTCTAATAGTTTCTGGTATTATTTTCTTCTTCTTTTTGACCTTTATTTTATCACGCAGGCCCCAAATGAGTTCAAAAAAACTATTTTGCAAAAGAGACCTGGCCAAGGTGGCAGCAGCATATCTACAGTATGTTGGTCCATTATTGGGACACTTGCTTGAACAGTCAAATAAAGTTGAAGTGCTCTTTATCCAACAGCCACTGAGGTACTTCATATCGTATATAAATGCTGCAACAGTGCCTGGAAGGAAAGCTTTTTGTCTTATGTGTGGGATGAACTGCATACAAATAAGAACACCTGTCAGTCTAATTTTCTATCACCATCAGGAGCCCACTTCTTTCTGTTTGAATTACAGTTTTTCGTTCATGGAGGTCACAATGCATTGAAAGTTTAAACGATTGCTAGAAGCATTCAGTTGTGCATAAAATCAGAGGAGAACATTTTCCGGAGCCTGAAATATCAAGGAGACATCTTCCTCAGATTGTCACCACAGTTTGTGTGTTTCGGGACAGGATTGCTGTGGGAAGAGAAGCACAGAAAGAAAAGAAATTGGGACCCTTCTTGCCCCTCATTGACACACGATTGCGTTGGAGTTACAAAGAGCCAGCATGAAAAAAAGTTCTTTTACAGGACAATTTCTGCTAAATCTTTCATGCACTCTGCTACAGTAGGTAGTGTGTCCTCTGGTCTTTGAGTCAGGAAGAAAGTAAGGGCCTTGTAATCCTCCCTGGTGATAAAGCTTGTTAAAAAGGCTTTTAGTATCCGGAGTACCCAGCAGGTTTTCATCTCGGCTATCTTGGATTGTCTCTGACTTCCTCTATGATATTACCACAGCCCAAAATGACATAGAGACAGGTGTTGCATATAGTTTTAGATTAAAAAAAATACTCTGATGAGTATCTTTGAGATGCCTTTTATGAAGCCCCTTTAGTTCTGATATCTCTGCTCAGCTAATTTCAATGCAGTTAGATGTACTCACCTGATGCCTTGCTATTTTAAAGCAAACCAAATAGAGAAACCTTTCTTTTTTTTTGTTTCCCTCGCTGTGTCCCATTTCTCTCTTAATTAAAATGCTAGATGCTCAATACCAGCAACATCGTGTGCCTGTTCATTTTGGCTTCTGTGATGCCAGCAAAAAATGTATTTCCAAATTTAATTAGCTAATATTTGTCGATCTGAGATAATTTAGTCATTTGTCTTCCTTATGGAAGCCCAAATTGCCTGTACTACAATTAGATTGCAGAGCGGCACACAGTTGGCAGTAACAGATCCACAGCACGTTGACAATAAGTTACAGCCAATTTGAGTCACAGTCCAGATTCTATTGTTTTATTCTCTGCAGAGAAATGCTAATTCAATATATCTAACTTTACACATTAGGACTCATTGCCTGCACTTCACTTTGAAGTTTAAAAGCTCCTCACATTTTCATCTGTCTCTTCTTGTCTTGATCTGTCTCTCTCCCTCAGCGCGAGTGGATTTACCTCCCATTGTTTGAGGACGTGTTTCAAACATCCAGCTGACACTGATTCATGTGTCATATCCAATACATTTCAAATAAACCAGGATTAGGCTGGCTAAATCCCATTTGTGGGAAACATAACTGATGTTGAGAGGCTTTTACAAAAGGCAATGGCAAACTTAATTTCACAAATATTCACGCAACACATTTCATCTTCTTTTTTTCCTCCAGCTCTCCTCCACACTGACATTGCAACCAGGAACCATTGTCCTCATTTCAACAAAGTATATAATTTCCTAATCTCTATCTTCATTTAATACCTGCCTCTTCAAAGGCTTTCAAAGCCCTTCAAGAGGGGCAGCAGAGGGAAAAAGGCATAATTTATATTCTGTAGTTAACTAATGGAAGAGAAGCAGGTGGTTTGGGTGCATGCATTTCTATTTTAGGGGATTTGTGGTGGAGAGGGATGGACAGCATGATTCCCTTTGATTTAACTCTGTGTGTGTGTGTGTGTGTGTGTGTGTGTGTGTGTGTGTGTGTGTGTGTGTGTGTGTATACATGTGTCCTCAGGGTTCCATAGAGGAGCGGCTGAAGCAGCTCCAGGATGCACATAGGGACTTTGGCCCTGGATCACAGCACTTCCTCTCCAGTAAGAGTCTTCTTCTGCTATCTGATGTTCTTACCTCTTGTTACAGCAGTCTGCACCACACTGTGTGAAGTCTTAGAGTGTGTAGGTTTGGAGGAAAAGAGTCTTGGTGTTTTACAGTTTTGTTTCAAGGCCATTAAACGCAGAATGTGTGCGTGTGTTTGTGTGCATATTTGGGTTAGAGGTGGAGCTTGCAGGCTTTTGTTTGTCTTTCTTCATCAGTTCCAGCACACTGTAGCGATAAACATCCCCAGTGATGCTCATCACAACAGTAATCGCTCTCATTCGAGCAGAGAAACATAGTTGTGAATTCTGTCTCTTCTTTCACCTGCTGTTCTTCAAAGGCTGCACAGAGCGAGCAGGGGGCCTGGAAATGTGATTTACTTTACCTAGTTTAAACTGATGAAGGGATGGAAAACTGTGATGCATGGCTCTGTGTGTGTCTGTGTGTTTCTGTTTGTGTGTGTTCAGTGTCCTCACCAGCCACATCCAGTACTGCTGCTGTCACGCTGGCTCAGAGACGCCACATTGGGGCTTAAAGAGCACCACTCTACTGCCAGCTCAGCTTGTTGCAGCCTTCACAAACTTCATTTTGAGATCTGTGCCTTTTTTTTCTGCCCCAACATACCTGTTTGTAAAGCAAAGCACATCATACATTTAGTGTGACGCAGTCACTGCTGTAACACGAAGAACCTTTAGCCAAGTTCTGTGCTTAAGTACAACTTTGAAGAGCTCAATTAATGAATGATAAATAGTACTTTTATCTCTCACAGCTATGATCGAGAGTTACTGGAAAAAAAATCTGGAAAACCTTATGAAAGATGATACGTGGTCAAAGATTATACCAGATTATAACTGTGACCCTTCAACTACCCACGCCAAGATTTGGTATTTAAAATGTGCTCCATCTTATAAATCTGCAATATTTCATAGTTTTTATGTAATGATGCATCATAAACAATCTTAAAACTAAATATTAGTGATTTAGTAGGACCTTGTTCTTCAGAATGTATAGTTTAACCTCTGTTACTGTATGTTTCTGGCTGTAAAACTGTGACTGTAGATGACTTAATTGTGTGTTTAACGCAGGTCTTTTCTGCATTTAATGAGTATTTTTACATTGAAGGATTGTTTTAACAATCCTTCAATTCATTTGTTTGTTATCTTGTTTGCTTGCTCATGTGTCTTCATTCACACATGCAGAGCCACAAGATTCAAGCATACATTGTGTTGCGTCATGATATAATAATGGACAATAGCATGGTGTGTGTGTGTTTTTGTGTGTGTGTGTCTGAGGCTGCGTGAAGGCTTCTCTATGAGCGCCTCTTCCTGTTCAGTCCGTCCTGTTTGATCCTCTGCTGAGCCCCCCGTGGTTCAGTTTGAAGGCCGGTTAAACTCCGCAGTCACCTCGTCTCAGGACTCCTCTGCCTCCTGTATTCTATTTACCGTGCCAAACAAACCAACACTCTGAGGAAACCCATCACAATAGAACTGTCTCTTTGGCTTTTCTGCTCCTGTTGTACAGAGGAGCATCTCTGTTATGGAGGTCTGAACGGACACGCTATCTGGACACGCTGTCAGGGGCATTGTGCTCAATAGCTCTTCACGCCTGACATGCCTATTCTGTAATTGATTTGGTTTTTGTGTGTGTTTGTACAGGTTCAGTGCAGATCCCGTGGGAGCGTGCCATCTCCCCGAACAAAGTGCCCTACTACATCAAGTAAGTGCAACTTCACAGTCAATGTGTGCACTGTGGGACTGAGTGTGTGCTTTTTCAACGGTGGTTAGGGGGCAGAATTAAAGAGAGGCTGTTTTGCTGTTTTTGTGACAAATGGGCATGAATACTGTATGTCTGTGGAGCACATCAGTAACAGTTTTTCCACTGAGTTTAAGTTTGACCTAAATTGATTTGGTCACAGCTGCTCCACACCAAACACTTCTAAATTTAGCTCTTTGTGTTTCTTCAGTGCAAATGATGCAATCCATCATACCAAAAATACGTTGAAACAGTAAGGAGTACCCGCCTGGTTGGACGAGTTGCCTTTTTTAATTCAGTTTAATATCTGATCTTTGCTTGGACAATGACCAATCATTGGTCCATATTTGTCTTTTCCATTTTCATTATCAGAATTCAGTCGATATGGGAATTGCAACATTTTAACACTTTACATTTGCTATGGCAATCACATAAATGTGCGTCTTAAAGATTGTTGTTTCTTTAGCCACTTATAGCAATGGCCATGCCCATTATGTTATATTCATGCCTTATATTCAGTTCGTTGGTATTTTTTTAACTGTTCCACATAAAAAAGTAAGAACTTCCAGATGTGAACTCCAAAATATATCTGCCTTTAAGAATTAAAAGGAAGTTCGACAACATGTTGGGTCATGTTTGGAGATCAGTGTCAGCTGGGTTGTGTTGTTTTATAATGGCACAGCTTGATATTCACTGCAGAGTTTTTTGATGGGTAAAACATTTATCTGGGGCGCTGGTGGCGCATTGGTTAGTGCGCGCGCCCCATGTATGGCGGCTATGGTCTTCCAAGCGGGCGGACCATGTTCAAGTCCAGCCTGTGGCTCCTTTCCTGCATGTCATTCCCCACTCTCTCTCTCTCTCTTTCTCTCTCTCTCTCTCCCTGATTTGCATCTCTATCCACTGTCCTATCTCTCCATGAAAGCCCAAAAATAAATCTTTAAAAAAAAAAAAACATTTATCTGAGCCAGATTGTTTTTAGTTCTGTTTGTCAATCAGCAAGATTCTTTAGAAAAAACTATTGGCCAAATTTCAATGAATGTTGCTGAGAGTGTAAGCTGTAGGCCAAGGAGTAACCAATACAATTTAGGATTAGGTCAAATTTACTCACTAACAAGGAGTTAAATTAAACTGTTTAAAAAGGTTTTACAAATACAACCAAAATGGTTACGTTTTCAAATTGAAACATCATGTAAGGCAGGTCTGTTGGTTTTGGTTGAGGTTTGTGCTCTCCATATTCACTTTTATAAACTTTTGATAATAGCTAGCTATAGTCATTTTTTGGCAAATACCACCATGTACTCTTACAGTCTCCCATCTGTTATGGAGGTCTGAACGGACACGCTCTCTGGACACACTGTCATGGACATTGTGCTCAATAGCTCTTCACACCTGACATGCCTGTTCTTTAATTGATTTGTTTTTTCTGTGTGTTGTACTGGTTGGTGTTGGTTGAGGTTTTTGCTCTCCATGTCAAATATTAATTGAATTATTATATACCCAGCTAGAGTCCACTTTTTTTGGCAAATACCACCATGTGCTCTTAAAATCAACCATCCAACATGTTTATTTATCTTGGAGACGGATTTGAATAGCTTTCTACCAATAAATAGGATGTGTAGGATACAAGCTTACTCAACAGCAGAGTATAATAACTTCTTCTCGTCGTTATTATGAGCACGGCTTACCTCACTTGTTCAAGCATTTGTACAGAGTTACTACAGGTAACTACTGAATGATTGCGGGAACTCTATTGAACTCTATTGAGCCACTCTGAGCTCTGTTTGCTTGGGCGCTCATCTGTTTATCCATTTACCTCATCAATACTATTTCACCTTTAGAGTGCTGCTGCTTTCATCAATGAACTGTGAAGGTGTGTGTGTTTATCTCTAGAGGATGGTATTTTGGGTTAAGGTATTTGTGCAACTGTTTAATACAGATCGTTCCTTTACAGATTTTGGGGAAATCTTTTTGTCATTTGTAGAAGAGCCGTGTGGGGGTCTTGTATAAGTCTGCTTATTTATCCCATATGTGCAATGAATGGTTATCGATTGGTAATTGTACTGGTCAAACAAAGAGCGCTTCCTTAAAAGACCCCGGGGTCCTGGCAGATTTATTGCTGCAGGGTTCCTCGTTCATTATTGCTTCATTTGTCAATTTTTTTTTTACTGGATGCTACATTTTCTGAATATGCAAACAGAGCTAGCAGTGGTGAAAGCAGTCTAAATGTATGTTCATGATGAATGCTGTTTGATATTCCTTGTAGTGTCTCTTAAGTGTAAGCCTTTTTACCTTAGGACAGTTTATTTCTGTAAACAATATTTCGTTCTGTCCTGCCCTCTTGTTTTCTCCCTTTACTCCCGATCACTGCTCTTTGATCTCTATTCTTTTACTGTCTGCCACATCTGCCTGTCTCTGCTCCCTGTGCTCATTTTGACTCCACTTTTGCCTTGATCTTCCTGGCCTGATAATGTTCACCGCCGTTCTTGCCTGCTTTGTGAAATCCTTGTGCCTTTGTTTCCCTCTTTATTCCAGCCATCAGGCCCAGACGACGTGCTGGGACCATCCAAAGATGACAGAATTGTACCAAGCACTCGGTGAGTTTGGAGACAATTAAAGTGTCCTTCGAGTCGTGCTCGTTGGCCCAGGACCCCCGCTGGGCTTTGGCAGCTACAGCAGCACGGCACAAGTGTGCTTTTACTTTGAAGGCCCTGTCACACAGCTCATTAAAGGCCCTGTGTTTCGAACACCTCAGGGACTACATCACTACTGTCATTAACCTACGAGGCCCAATTTGCCACCGCTATGATTGCTTCTTGCTTAGCCTTTAATTAATTGTGATTAAACGACATCATGTGTTTTACTGTTAATCTGATCTGACACGGCAGCTTGCAGGGGAGATCGGAACACTGTCACACACACAAATGCCCAGCCACACACACACACACACACACACACACACACACACACACACACACACACACACACACATAACACACACACACGTACACAGATAACATTAGCAATACAGCACGTCACTAATGACTTCTGCAGCAGTGTGATAAACATGAGGGAAGATAGTGATGTCTAATTTCTGGTTGGAAAGGTAGAGTGGTGCGGGATGGGTTTGTTTTCCCACAGCTCTTCATTTACTCTAATCTTTTTCTATCTCTCTCTCTCTCTCTCTTTCCTTCCATTAGCGGATCTGAACAACATCAAGTTCTCAGCATACAGAACAGCTATGAAGCTGCGGCGAGTTCAGAAGGCTTTGAGATGTACGTACATACAGCATTTCATCGATGGTATTTTCTGTCTGCAGCACCGAGATGGCTGCTTAAATAATATACTCTACCATTATCCTGCGGCATCAGTAATCCACTATGACAAGCTCTCTTCAGGATTGAGATATAGCGATTAGCTGTGGTACATTTCTCTATCGACCTTGTCGAAGGAATCATCACTCCTCTCTACACCACTTGTAGTGGAAAATATTCTCTGCACTTCTCTACCGACTTTGAAATGCAGAAATCAAAAGAATTGATGAAAAAAGAGAGCCACTTGAAACACTCAATGAACCAGATTTATCTTTATCACCTCCCTGACTGTTAGCGTGTTACATAATTTGAGCAATTAATTGGTTCATTTGGCTTACAAAAAAAAAAAGGCAATTAGTTTTTACCGCATGGTTGAGGCTTGAATATGTGCCCCTCCAGGGTCACAACACTACTTGTATCCTACTCACGCCTGTCACTCACAATTTAGGCTTATTTTAGAAATATTCCTTATTCCTCCAAGTCATGGTTTTTCCCTTCGCTCTCTTGGTTTTTCACAACCACAAGTCTGGTCTGTCTCCCTCCTCCCGCTTGTGACCCCTTAACGTCATCTTTCGTCACCTGCAGATCTCTAACTCTCACTGACGATAGATGTAACAACATTTGATGCTGCAAGTGACCAATTTTGCATTCTTCCTTATTCATCTTGCTCACCCCCTCTCCTGCCATCTTCTCTCACTTCAACACCCCAAGTTGCTGTAACGAAAACTCAAAGCTCAGACGACTGTGAAAACCTCTTTCCTTTCCTATCCTGCTCTCCCCCGTCCTCTAGACTTTTCGCTGATACCGTTACAGAATTTAATTGCCTGGCTGCCTTGATAACTGCAGAACTCTTTCTCTCGGCACACTTTGTAAATGATTGAGAAGTGCTGTATAAGAGCCTATCAGAAATACATTTTTAGGTGATTCCCTCCCAACCCCTGAGAATACTCCTGTTATCTCCTCTACCCCTTCTACCTCATTATTGTGCAATCCAATTATACCTGGCATCAACGGACACCCTTTTAGCTCCACTCCGAGGGATGGGCCTTGAAATTAGTTTAGAAGAGCAAGATCAAATTTGTGTCACTGCTCTTGAAACATCTGGTAAGGCTTAAGTGGGAAAAAATGGGTGACTAAGCACTGCTGTCGTCTGAGTGCTCATTTGCTGAGGCGAGGATGATGATCCTGCGCTGTCTTTGTGTGTGTGTGTGTGTGTGTGTGTGTGTGTGTGTACGCAAAAGAAGAAGGTCTGATAACATATGCACATATGCAGACTCCAGCAGGTGTATAGCATGCCTTTACCTTAATTTTTAGTTAATTATCTGTTACTTTATTTCAAACTACTTTCAAGTGTCAAAATGAATGTTATATAATTTGAATGACTTTCCAGCATGCACAATCATGAAGAAGTTATTTTTTAGGGTATATAATTTCCTTAAGATATATTTGTGTGTTTTTAGTGGATCTGGTGGCACTGAACGGCCTTGGGGAGGTGTTTCGGGAGCAGGAGCTGCAGCAGGGGGAGCATGTGATGGATGTGGTGGAAATGATCCACAGCCTGACGGCTCTGTACGAGAGGCTGGAAGAGGAGAGGTCTATCCTGGTCAACATTCCACTCTGCGTTGACATGTGCCTCAACTGGCTGCTCAACGTCTACGACAGGTGGGTGAGCTGAAGTAAGGTGCTTTAATCCTGAAAAAGTGTAGTCTTCATTAAAACCTACTGGAGTTGAAAGCTGCCTAACTTCATCTCTTAGCTTTACTGCTTCAAGAGTCAAAAGGAGGGCTGGAGCAAATCCCAGCTGGCATTTGGTGGGAGTCAGGGTCGATCCTGCTGCTGCTGCACTTCGTTTTTTGTTGGATTTGATGTCTTTGTTGCAGGGGTGGATATGACAGCGTTGTAAGGGGTGTCAAGGGCCTCCCCATGAGATCTGATTGGCCATCTCTGGTGCCACCCAAAAATCCTAATTGGCTGTTTACCTTGTCAGAGGCCGGATTTATGTTTTGGGCTGTGTTGCAACAGGCTGCTAGTAGCTTTCTTTGCATTTTAATGCAAAGCATTTCCTTTCATCAGATCTTCTAAATTTGAATTTGGCCATAAATCTTCTTTTTGAGTCTTTAAAGAATTAGGCGTGGAAGATTTAAAAGTTGCCGTTCTGTTGTGCTACTTAAAGTGAAACAAAAATACATATTGAATATGACATCTGTATGATACTTTATTTTTAGTATTTAAAGTAGTTATGATTAGTGGAGAAATAGTTATTTTTTATAATGTATGTACACAGACTTCATGCTCCCCCTGCACATGTCAGTGCTATCCCAGTCAAACAGTCTAGACATGCCCCTGTGTTGAATTCAATTTACAGAATTCTGATTTTGTGGGGGGGTTTTTTGTTGTTGTTTCAAATAAATCTCAAAAACATCACCAATCCCATTTTTACCCATGGGTAATTTGGATGCACTAATGAGCCTAACCTGAATGTGTTTACACTGTGGGAGAACGTTGGACTACTTGGAGAAAACTGATGCACACAAGGAGAGAATATGCAAAGTCCAAACAGAGAAACCCCAGCCGGCTGGTGGGATGCAATCCAGAACCTTCCTGCTGTGAGGTGACAGAAATTAGACATTACATTACCATGCTGCATAAGCTGCTGCCCACCATGCTGCGCGAGCTGCATCAATGAATGTATTGAACCACAAGGCTTTTATGTGAAAATGCCTTGGCTGAAGGTATTTTAAGGTAAACCAAAAAAATAGGGTTAAGAAGAGGAGGGCAGTGTATTTTCAACATTTCTCACAGTATCCAATTACCTTTTCTACTATTCTTGTACAAACACTGACTGTATATATGTCAGTGTTTGGGTGAGGGAGACAAGAAGATAATTCATTGTTTCAATGGGGAAGTAGCATGGTTTGATGACTGAGAGTAATCTTACAATTACAGCAACTAGATTAGAAGCTTTAAAAGATTTATAGCGAGTTCGGCTTGGACTTGCACAGGAAAAAGACGGCTGAGCGGGGGTTCTGTAGGAGAAGCCCCTAGCTGCAGGGCTAACTGAGCTCTTGTCAGCCCCCATAGGTGGAGCTGCTGTGTTGATGTCCTGCATCTTTGCTAACCAAAACACACATTTGCCTTAACCAAAGACTGGCAAATGTAGACACAAGTCTTTGGCAAGGAAGAGGAAGAAGAATGTGTAGAGTAAAAAAAAAATCACTACAGTGCTGCTTTAAATGACCAAACGTTGAGATATTTGTTTTTCATTGTTCCTTGTGTGTGCTTCTTTACATATGACAAACTTTGTAAATCTTCATAGTAGTCTGATAGCCTGTCTGCAGATTTACGTAATGGCTTCAATGGCTCATTGTTCTGACACCTCCAGTATAAAGAGCCACAGCATGGCTAAAGCTCCAATAACAATGTCCAGGCAAAGGGCCAATCATCCCTTCTGAGACACGGCAGAAACAAATCCTCTTTCACACCCACAGTCACCGTATCTTTGTCCCTGTTTGACTATTTTTTCCGCCGTGTTCAAAGAGAAAACACAGAAATAACCCTGCGAGTGCTGTAAATATCAGGCAGCTCTTACATCCTTTCTGCTAATGAAAGTCAATCAGACTTCAATCTCAGCATACATTTCTGTAATTGCCTTTTTTGATTTACAATAACCACTAGCAGTGAACCTGAATGATGTGTGGGCATGTTTTTGTGTCCTTTTTAATATTTGTGTTCATGCCAGGGAAATGTGCATTCACATCATGTATGTGTGTGCGCGCATGTTTTACGTGTGTGTCTTGCAGCGGCGTGTCACACGAGCAGGGTGTGCAGGAGTGACTTGTCCCCTAAGGTGTGACACTGGGGTGCATATTGAAGATGGCATGCGACACATAGCAGAAAGTGTGTGTAAAAGGTGCTGACAGCCAGTCGCCCCCATGCACTCTCAAGCTCCACTGGACAAACTCCAGTTAGGAGGAGATGCGGGAGGGGAGGAAATGGGGCTTTCTTATGACTACACACGTTTCTCCATGTGACTCTAATTTCTCTAATTTCTCCAGCATGATTGTTATTTTTCTGCAAGCAAAGTTTCTCCTCTTCCAAGCAACATCCACCACTATAAATCTTACTCCATCATTTATTCAATTCAAGTTAAGTCAAGTAAAAGTTTATTTATAGAGTACATTTAAAACAACCTCAATTTTCTCAATTTTGTACTTCATTGATCTGATGCTCTCTGATGAATGAGATATTCTAGATTTCTCACTTAACTTTTGGAATGTTAATTAGATACGCCTGTGGTTTTGAACCAATGCAGTCAATTCTTCCTGGCTGTGTTGGCTTCTGAGCTGTGAAATCTAAACATGCACACTAATCGTGAGCTTGCCTCTAAAATTCAGTCTTTCCACAGCAGCTTTGACACCCTCGCCCCATTTTTTTCTCTAATTTCAGGCTGAAAATGTGCTAATCTACCCCTTAAGTCTCAAGTGTGCATTGTTTTGGGGGTTGTTTATGGAATATGTATATCTGTAAGTGATATAGTGTTTGTGTATTGCTCTTCTGGGTATAAACCTATGTACACGATCCTTCATCAAGTCCCTGTAGAGCCTTTAGGGGCCGTGGATGAGCTCTAATTCAATTTCACACTGCTGCACTGACCTGTATTTTTCTCCTGACCCACGTAATTCCTCCAAACTCTGCCCCCCCTCCCAACAAGCTTCTACCAATGAATAAAATACAACTAATACACAACACATTGTGTTTTGAGTTGATGAAATATGACCATTTAAACATTTTTTTTTTTTTACAACCTCTTTTTTCTCCTCTCTTTTTTCCCTCACTAGTGCTCGGAATGGCAAAATGCGAGTCCTCAGTTTTAAGATGGGATTGGTGAGCTTGTGCAATGCAGACGTCCAGGAGAAGTACAAATGTGAGTCTCATGCTTGTTCATGTGCCTAATGCGTCTCTTCAACTGCAAACAATGAGCCAAAACAAAACAGTCCTGATTGCCAGTATTACATAAAGACATCCACTTAGTCTAATGGACGAAATGACTCTGCTGCCATAAAAGAGAAAGCCTTTTTTACTTCTCCAAAGTACAGCAGGGGCTTTAAAAGGATTGCTTGCCAAAGACACCATTCATGCACACTCTTCTTCTATAGCGCTCACTCCCATTTTTCTTCTCAAGTCAACTAGCAAAGAGCTAAGACCCACCCGTCCTCCTCTTTTCAGTTCTAAATTATGCTGCAATATTTTATGATAGCAGTGCTCCGCCTGATGTAAATTTTTACAGTCACAGTGTAAGACAGGTTATGAGTCATTCTGTAAATATAGGTAAATTAGAGAGTGAGCCTTTGAACTGATAAAAGGTAGGCCTGGAACAGCTTGTTGTTCATACATAATCTGAGACAACAGTGACAAACCCATGGCAGGGTTAGTCATGTTTGGCACACCACCATCTGTGTCAGCTCTTAAAGATTCAGCGTTAAACAGATTTGCCTTCAATTGAGAGTTCCCTGAGATGAGTCAGCTTTCTCTTTCTAGGTCCAGGTAGACACAACTCTGCCATTTCTGTGACTGATGAAGTTGTTAGCAGCTTCAGACGCACTGGGATAATATTAACAAATAAATCTGAGGCTTCTGCAACAAACTGCTTTTGGTTACAGATTAATCTAATTACTTTTTCAAACAAAGTTTAATTACTGGACTTTTTGGTAATACCCTTTTTTGGAAAGGCATCTTGAGTTGCAAGCTTTCATTCATGATATTGGCAATCTTTGAGATCTCAGCATGTTCAACTTTCACACCTAATTTGTCAGCATCACATCTTTTTTAGTCCCTTGCTTCTGCTTCTAATTATCATATTAGAAAATCATGGAAGCAATTTGAATATTTTTTTCAGTCCTCTACAATTATCCAGCACAATCTTTGAATTGAATGCAATATTTGAAGAGACAATTTTCTCAAAATGGTGTGCAGTATGACTCTATTAACATTGTTAACGATAATAATGATATCATTTATTATAGAGCAATTTAAAAAAGAAAGTGCTTTACAAGGACAGCAATAATAAAACAAACATATAAAATGTAGGTCATAAAATCATAAACAAAGGCAAAAAATAAGAAAGACCAACTTAATTAATAGAACTCTAGGAGACAGAAAAAGTCCAATTCAAATTCCTGATCTCCTCGGGGTAGATCATTCCACAGATCCCTCACAGACAACACTTTGTCCCCTTTAGTTGTGTTTTCATCATTCTAGGAGGTAGTGAATTTTCAAGCAAACCAAACAACAGACTGAAATCATGGAGTAAAAGTTACCAAAGAAAGCCTATGCTAGTTAGCCCTACTATTGTTCCTCCTCATCGCTATAAATTAGACAAACTCAATTTACCTGCTCTTGTATTTTTTTGGCTCAGAGCTCAGGTTAGCAACATCTAAAAAATATTGAATAGTTTTCTTTGATTTTAATTGGTAAACAACAAAGTACTTTCAAAATCAATACCCTTAACGTGTGTTCAGTGCGAGTTAGAAAATATTAGCATACTAGCTAGCATCTGTTTTGTTTCTTGTCTCCTGCCCAGGGACTACAGATGTAAATTAGCTCATAGCTAACTCTGGTACAGCTAATAGGCTTTAGGCCTACACTGCCCCTATCAAAAGACGAGGAAAAAAACTAAACAAATTAACAAACACGTCACACTAATGCTAACACAAGCTGAGGATGTGACCATGTTGAACATGTTATTTGGTAAACAACAGCATTTTATTGTTGTCAATAAGTGACTATTTTAACATGTTGGGTTGAAAAAAGCTTACAACAGCTACAAAGAGTTGTTAGCATTGCTTAAGACATGACTATATTTCTTAAATCTAGATTTCAGGGTCTTATTTAGCTAATCTGTGAAGCTATACTAACATAGTGTCTTGTGTAAAACATTTGCAGTTTGCATGTTTTAGGTATACTGCAGGACAGTGTTTTCATAAAACTCATCTAGACCAAACAGCTCATCTAAATTGACAAATACAACTCAGCTCTAGTCAGGAGAACTAAAAGTATATAGAGTAGTCCACTTAGCATGCAGGTATGAAGCTGAACGTTGTCTCTGAAGGGGTTGAAAAACTACACAGAGAGAAAGGGGGGGAATACATGGGGTGCCCATAATGGTATTGTGCAGCCTCCTCCCAGGCCTGTCAGCATTCATCTCTTCAGTGACAGGCAGAGTCTAGGCTCGCTTGGTAAAGTCTTCATTCAAAACCTGACAAGACTCCGTTTTCATGCGTCTCTTTCATCTTCAAGCAGACCAGCCACCCCACTAATACTGATGCCTTCTCTTTAAATGTCACTGAAGAGAGTTTTATTCAACCAAAACTAAGTCACCTGTTGCCTGGGATTGGGGACTCGATGTTTGAAAAAGGAAGATACATAGATGTCTTGCTGTCCTATTGACATACTACACAATTTTTTATGTAAGACTGAAATTATGCTATTATCTTGCAGATAATGTACTACCCATTGTCAATTGGGAATGTTAGCCTTTGAAAGTAAATTGCCAAAGTCGCACTTAAAAAGAGCACTGGACAGAAGATATGCACACATGCATTGCACTTATTGATGTTACACACTGTTTAATCAGATGATTCAGTATATTTTCTGGTGGATGCAGACTTATTCCGTCAGGTGTCGGGTTCTGGAGGTGTGACAGACCAGCGTCATCTCAGCCTGCTTCTCCATGAAGCGATCCAGATCCCCCGTCAGTTGGGTGAAGTTGCTGCTTTTGGAGGCAGCAACGTGGAGCCCAGCGTGCGTAGCTGCTTCCGCATGGTGAGGACTGAAGCCATGTCGTGCATATCATAACCAAGCACACTCACAGAAAGGCGAGGATATGTTAAACATCAACACAATTACTATATACGATTAGAATAGATGTTACAATCTTCATTTAGAACATGTTATGATTTCACATTAATCCATTTGACCTGCTGTTCCTCAGTTTATAATAGTCGTCATAGTCTATATATATTTTAGACACACAATTTCGCTGAGCTGTGAAAGTCCTAGGGTTTTGATTGGCCCAGTGTCTCTGACAGATCAGCATATTCCCAATAGAGTCTGACAAAATCAAGCTTTAAGACCTACTTATTCATGATATTCCAGAATAGCGCTGTACCTTGAAAAAAAAGAAAAGGAATGAATGACTTCCAGGTAGTCGAAACAGAACATGTTGGTACCAAGACATTATGACAGAAACAGAAACAGACTGCAAAGGCAGAAACTGCGGAAATGAAAGTCAAAAACATTATTTTTTTTCCTTTGAAAAAATAAAAAAGTCAGCATGAAATAATCATGATGTCACACCAGGAAGCTGCCATCTACTGTATGAGATGCCCATTGTGTTCAGTGAGCTTCAGCCTGGTCCAACTTTCCTTCAGAAGAAATGCAAGTTATATTCATAGAAAAGGAGAGGCTAAAAAAAGATCTATAAGTTCCAGCTGCAACAGAGAGACTCTGAATGTTGCCTTACAAACATTACATCTCATTAATATTGCATTATTATATGTTTGTAATGCTCATTAAATCACTGAGCCTGTTATGCATGATGTTTCTAAACATAAATGTACTGCAGGTAAGATTGAAGAAGTTTAAATGGCAAAGTTGCCAATAGAAGCTGATCTATTGGAATATTGCTATGATGAAGCGAGGTCACAGAGTCCAGTAGCCCACAGAGGGAAATCTTATGAGGAGACACATGTTCAAAGCATGAATTAATCTGTCTTTCCCTCCTTCCCTTTGCTTTCCCTGAAGAAGTCTGATTGTGCACACTTTGCTCATGTTGCAGACACTTAGCCATCTGACATTTACTTTGGGACATCAGATAATTAGGGAGTGGTCAGGAACAGACTGCGGCTTTTTGGATGGTGGCCTATGGCTAACCTTTTAATTCATTTTCAGGTCAGATGCTAATTATTAACTCCTTATTCTTGTCCATACTTGCTGTGTCAGCTTTGGCTACTAAGAATCAATTCCTTTCTGGGTTTGGTCTACATCAGGGTGTTAAGTTGTAGACAGAATATTCATGTTATATGAAATGGGTGGTGACCTATTTTCCTGTTAATCACTGGACCTCAGTTTGTGGAGACCACATTGCTGTGATCTCACATCAGCTAGACTTTTTGACCCTGTTGACAAAGAAGCAGATGGATAAGCTTTGGGAAGAAAAATTGCAAAGAAAGAAGGCGATGGGATTTTGCTGAGGGTTTCTTTGTCTGCAGAGGTTATGAGGTCCAATACAACACAATTGTATTACTTTTGTCCTTTTGAAAATAGTAATGTTGATTTGTTGCATGCCATTTAGTTGATTTATATCGGCGACAGCATTTAGTTTTGATGGATGACTAAACGTTTATTACCCCACTTTTCCAATGATCTTTAAAGCATCCCATCTGCTCAGCGTGCTGCTCTGAGATGTAGCGGTGTGCTCAGCATAGACAGAGCCCCTTCCAGGTGTCAGGTACATGCTGTTTGACCTCCCAAGAGCGAAGCCGGCTACTCCTCTTCCAGAGAGAAGCTCCTTCTTTCCAGGAAGACTCTACACATCCTTATATCTCACACACACACACACACACATACATATATTATGCTACTTTGCATGGGCGATGGAGGAAGCCCCAGGGAAATCATCCCCTTAATGCATCTCTGATGCAGACTTAATGAGAATTTAGCACATCACGGATTTTCAGCGCTTGGCAAGTCATTCTTTTATTAGGTTGACTTCCTTTTTATCCCGCTTTCTGGAATTCTCAGCAAGGTTAGTCTGCAAACAAACATACACTTTTCACTCAGACACATTATACATGTCTGATGTGTTAGCTTTAAAATCATTCAAGTGGTGGCAAAGACAAGATGCCCCTTAGGTAGAACATCTTCTTTTGCCCTCTCCTTCCTCTTCTTGTCTTTTGAACTTGCTTTGAATCCTTTCTTTTTACAACAATAGCTCACTGCTTGACAGCCTTTAGAAAGGAAGCACAGCTTCTCCTCTCATTACTTTCTGTTGCTGCCCTGCTGTTTGTCTATATTTGGATTGTTTACAGGCCCTTCCCTTCTTTCCTCCCCCCCCTCCACCTTCCTTTTCCAGGCCCCAGGGAAACCTGCCATCGAGGTGTCTCACTTCCTGGAGTGGATGAGCCTGGAGCCCCAGTCGATGGTTTGGCTGCCTGTCCTGCATCGTGTGGCTGCAGCAGAGTCGACCAAGCACCAGGCCAAATGTTACATCTGCAAACAGTGTCCTATCAAGGGCTTCAGGTAAGCATGCCAGTGCGGCTAAATAGACACAAAGACACACCCAAATACAATGTATTCACATTATTGAGAAAAGATGAATTTTCTAGGTAGCTATTAACACATACAAGTGTTTGTAAAGGCGGGTCATATTCACTCAATAATTTAAAATTGCATGGATGATACATTAGGAGCATGAATGAGAGAAAATAGTTTGAAAAGGAACAGGGTAGCTTAGTTGGTATAGATGAGACAAAAGTGTAAAGAAGACATATTTTATCTTGTTAATTGGAACTAAATATTACGTGTGGAATTTTAGCTGGGTTTTTTTTACATTCATTTTGGGGTTTTTTTATGCCTTAATTAGACAGACAGGACAGTGGACAGCATCGGAAGTCAGAGGTCTGATTCCAACCCAGGCTTTCAGCTTGAGAGCTGTAGCCTCTGTTCATGGGGCAGCGAACTAACCAACCACTAGTAGGGAACAGGCACCCCTTTGATTTTAATATATAGTTACTTTACACAGATGCAGATGCAGTTCCTGTTATAAAGTAATTTTATTCATCTTCATAAGAGCTGGCAAAGAAAATATTTGATGCATGTGTGTAAATCTATCTTCTTTTATCTGAATTTCATAATTACATTTAAATTCATATAGTTATAATAGAATCATGATTGCTAGGTGGCTGTAATGGACATGTCAGCCTCAAGCAGACGGATGTTTGATAAAAGTACACACACACTCTCTCACACACATGCACACACACACACACACAGACACACACACATACTCTCTCACACACACACACACACACACACACACACACACACACACACACACAGTCCTCTTACCTCTGCCAGTTCTCTCTAAAGCATCAGTTCAGCCTCTGTGTTTTATTGATCTTGACAGGTATCGCAGTCTGAAGCAGTTCAATGTGGACATCTGCCAGACGTGTTTTCTAACCGGCCGCACTACCAAGGGAAAGAAGCTGCACTACCCCATCATGGAGTACTACACACCAGTAAGACAAACATTATATGCTGCTTTAAGTGAAGACAAATTCAACTCCCCAGGGACAAATTAAACCCAGTTGAACTGCAAAAAATGCTACTACTCCTGATTCCTGCTGCCAAATACAGATTAGCTCCATCTACACTGCGAGCTCTCTATCATCTCTGAGTGTGTACTGTTGTATATACTTATACTGCCATCGCCATATCTACTGTATGCAGAGATTGAGTACCACTCAGCAATAAGATCCTTTCTGGCTCACATAGTGAACACATAAAGTGCTATTTGGAGCACACACTCTGCTCTAACCCCCAATAAAATCACAGTCTTCACGCACAGTCTTGGAAGTGGAGTTAATTCCATAGGAGTAGCTGTAGCAATATAGCCCGAGTGGCGGAGGGATCTGATATAGTGCCAGATTTAATCTCAGATCAGTTCTCAGCTGTGAAAGATGGCAAAAGGCCATCTTTAAAATTATTATTTTTCAATGGACAATACATTATATTAACCAGTGACATTTTTTCACAGTGTCGAGGCAAGCCTGCAATCATAGATTTCTGCTCTGATAGAGGGGGAATGAAAAGGAGAGCTAGAGAGAGGGAGAGAAAAAATGGAGGGTGGAGTTTTAAAGGGAAGAGCAGCTGAAACTGAAAGAGAAAGCAGATGGAGGAATAAGTCTTCTAAAGCTGAGACCGAGTGGTCACATTTCAGATGAGGTCATTTTGGATAAAGCAACATTTTGGAGAGTTCTTAAGCTCTGTAATTTGTCTCCTTCTTCTTCCACCATCCACCAACCACCTCTCGTCCCTCCTCCAACCCCTCGTCTCCTAAATCACTCTCCAGACAACCTCGGGAGAGAAGATGAGGGACTTTGCCAAGACTCTGAAGAATAAGTTCAGATCAAAGCAGTACTTCTCCAAACACCCTCAGAGAGGTTACCTGCCCGTGCAATCTGTGCTGGAAGCTGAGAGCTCTGAGACGTGAGTCTGACACGTAAACAAGAACACACACATTTTGTTCTGGTGTTTTTTTTCCATCATCAGTCTCTGTCCTCGCCCTGCTGATGGAGCTAATCATCACGCTCTGCCAATTTAGGGCTCTCTGACTCCCTGCCATGGGTTAAAGGTGCAGCTCTGTGTTCAGCATTAACATAATGTTATTCCTGTGATCTCAGTCTGGTCAGACGCTCTGTTCACATGAGCGAGCTTCACCCGGAGGGAAATAAAGCAGAGATAAGACTAAAATCCATGAGATCATCAAGAAGCTTAGCTCAGGGCTAAACAGCAACCAGGAAGATTTAGCATGATAGGGTCACCTTTCATAACCTCAAACATTAAATGAGTTCATGGGTCCATCCAACTAATGCAGAACACAGATAAGACTGAAGTGGTGGAAGCCAATTAGAGACAAGTACAAAAAGTAAATGCCCTACTTATCCCTCAAATTATGTTACAACATACTTTTGATGTATTTCTTATAACAGGGCACTACTGATTATACTATGGTGTTATTATAACAGATGCATGCAATTATGTAGAAGCCATTATTTTGTATCTTGCTTTCAAGGAGCTAATCTTGACCTTTTATACATCTTGTGGGATCTCTAAATCAATCTAAAGGATACATCTGAGATTTTGCAGGATAATTAAAAAGATAAAGAATGTACATGTCTGCAATGCAAAATAGGATCTTTAAAAAAAAATTATTCAATGTTTTCTTTGTGAAATGTTGGATAACTGTACCTTTAAGAGGCTTAAACAGTCTGGAAAAATAAGTAATCTAAGAAAAGAACGTCACTCTGAATAACAATGAAGACACTCACATCAGTGACTTAACAGAGAGGAGAACTCATGCTGGCTTTTGGGTGGAGGAGTTTTTTCAGCTCACAGTTATAATAAGATTTTTTTTTTTTAGGTGTTTCTTCATCAGAGTAAGGCAAGGTAGTGGCAAAGTAGTGCTTCCAAATAGCTCTATCTGTCTCTTATTGGATGGAAATGGTTTGGTCATTCCCATATTACCACAGTTTATTTGAATGTTATCCTAAAACAAATATTTAAGCTCATGAGAACAGGGTCAGATTGTTTACATTTTTAATTAGTCCATTTTCCTGTGAATTTAAAGAGGACATATTATACCCCTTTTCCACCTTTTTAAACAGTCCTCAGGGTAGGGGAGGGTATTTTTTTAACCATAATCCCACTGTGACATCATCAGGAGAGCAAATTTGAAACGGAGCACTTGTCTCTGTGTTTTACGACTTATGCAGACCACAAACACAGAATTGAATTGGTTTATTTTACATTTTGTGGGTCGGTAGACACTCAGGTTCCCCAAATATATTTTCAAAAACTCTGTTAAAGTGGATTTTTCATAATATGTCCACTTTAATGTGGAAATTCAGCTGCTTCAGAGCATCAGGTGTGTATTTCTCCTCCACCAAGGCAGCAGGGAAATCTTAATAATTCCCCAGTATGTCAGGGTGGAAGCTATTCTATGACTTGTATTAACATATTGATGTTCCACTGCATATTTAAAGTCCTTGGTGTGAATTGCTGACTCCTAAGAAGTGTTCTGTCCTAAGAATAAAATGATTTCCAAAGATGCATACATCAGAAACCTCATAGATATATGAAACATGTACTGAATGGTCATGAGTAACATTGTAACCCTGTAGTTCAATCAATATCAGGGCTTCATATTTAAAACCATCATCTGATCTGATTAAAAACACATTAACATGCAATGCCTTAAATAAATAGAGTAAAAGTAAACATAGAAATACCTAAGCCAAGTACAAGTACTCAATCCTGGGCTATGATACTTGCTGCATCAACAAAACATTTTTATATTTCAAATTCCATCAAGAAAAAGGTTTTCAGGTTCATGAATAAAATGTTCAACTGCTGGGTTATTGCAACATATGTGAATTAAAGTGAGTTTGACCTTTCTTCAGCCATACAGTCACATTTGCAGAATGTTAAAACACAGAAGTCATTGTAAGCTATTGACATTGGCTGTTGTTGTTCCCAGACCGTGCTCGTCACCCAAGCTGCCCCATGCAGACACGCACAGCAGGATCGAACATTATGCCAGCAGGTATGTGACCCACTGTTGCTGTGCTGTACATCAAATCATTACAGCAAAGAGTCCCCTTCGCTCACATTCCTTTCTTCTAATCAACCTCCCCCTCCTCCTTCTTTATATTCACTCTGTCTCTCCTCCTCCCCCCGCCTCGTCTGCTCCCTCACCTTTTAGTATTCTCCACACACTGATTGAAGTATTGATTTGAGCGTGCTGTGCACTCTGCTCCAGCCAGCGTAGAGACCCAACTGCCCAGCAGTGTCCTGCCCGCCTGCTCTGCACACAAACACAAGCCGGTGTACAAAAGCAGAGCAGTTGGTGTTTGTTGTTTGTGTGTGCATGTGTGTATGTGTGTGTGTGTGTGGAGGTCAGCGGGGCTTAACGTGCCTTGCAGCTTGTCACTTGCAAGGGCAGTGGGCCCATTGGTCACCTGGGAGCTGTTGGTGTGGATTAGTGTCTGTGTGACAGGTTATAAACAGGGCACAGCGCTGGACTCCCACACTCCTGGCAGCTCTGCCCACAGTGAGCTGGACACACACACCTTTCCTCTGAGCCTTGCAGAGTGTGTAGGGTACTGTGTCTGTCTCTGTGTGTGTGCCACTTGTATTGGTCCCCACAGGCTCTTACACACGTAAACACACACACTGCCTTAGACCCTGCCAAAGCGCAGGGAACACACACCAACAAGAGAGCAGGCACAGTTGTCCTCTTTACCCCTCTTATCTCTCCCTCTCCCCCTTTCGTTTGTTTTCTTTGTTTTTTTTTCTTCTTATCTTTGATCCCTCTCTTCCATTGTCTACCACCCACACATTTATTCTTCCTTTTTTAATCTCTCCTCTCTCTCTCTCTTCTAGACCTTTCTTTTTCTTCGTTCTGCCACATCTTGTCTGTTAGATTTTCCTACATTTACCAATGTGTTTCTACATGTGTTGTTGGTGGTATTGAGAATAATACTGGCATAACTACCGTAATAATGAAGCTGCTGACCGACTAAACTAAAATAAAGTAAAAGAACAGAAATGGAAAAGTGGTCATATCGTGAACCAGTCTCAGAATGAGACACATTCACACTGAAAGTTTGCTTGCCGAGGAAAAGCTGGAAAAACTGAAATATTTTAATGAAGATTTGCGTTCAGAGTCCATTGTATTGACAGCGTAGCTAAACTTTAAAGCTTAAACTTTTCACATTATAAGCAATCTTTTTTTGTGCATAGGAAACCATCACTCATTTTGTTTTGTAAAGACAATAACCTTTGACTCATTCATGGTGTAGAAACAGTCCATGGGCATACTGAAGCCTTTTTTAAAGTAAGTAAAGACATGAATCTTTAAGAAGCAGGCCATGAATATAGAGTACACTTTTATTGCTGCCCTTAAATGAATGGGCTTGGTTTTGACAAGTAGTTATTTTCTTGTGAGTTAGCAGGTAAACTGTTATTTTGTATTAAAAACAAGTCGTGCTGTGCAAGGGTTTGGATCATGGCTGCAGTTTAAGAAACTTTGGACATTAATGGAGCTCTATGGAACAAAGTCACTAATAAGCTGTAAAAAGTCTGGTTTTTAGTCTTTACATGATGTTTATCGACATAAAAAATATATATCGAAAAGCATCTTTACCATCTCTTATTCACTGCTTATTTTTCTAGTTATATTTCTCACACATGATTGAAGCTCGATGCAGTAAGGATTCTTTATCTCTGTTCAATAAGCAGTTTGTTTTTGTTACATATACATAAGCAAAAAAAAAAAAAGAAGACAGGTGTTACTTTGATTCTGCATATTGCTAAACGTGCTGCAAGACTACAGCAACACAAAAACCTGAGCAATTCAGTATACTGTAATATGCTATTAATATCCCCTCATAATAACCACATGTAGGTATTTTTATTCACTTCAATGGTACATTAAGCTCTTAGCTAACTGGAAATAAATGTTTTTTTAGGATAGCAGCTTATCACAGGGTCAGTGATCCAAGGTTCCTCGTGTTAACATGACAGAACTGCTCCTATTGGTGAGGTCTGTGCCTGGCTTGATGGTATGTCCAAAGTGAGGCAGAAAGATGAGAGGCACTTTTAAAAACTTTCCCACTGCTTTTATCCCAGTTGCATTAAAATGAATGAGAATGGGCGTTTGTGGACTCAGACACTAAAGAGAAGTGTGAGGACACTGATCTGAGAACAGTCATAATAAGAAGAGACAGTCCTTATTAAAGGAATGGGCGAGCGTTTTATCTGCTGTCTGGCAGCATGGCGAATTGACTTCAATCGTCTTTTTTCCCTTTCTTTCTATCTTTCTGCCACCTGTCAGCTGATGAAGAATATAAAGGGAAAAAAAATCCCTTTTTTATTTGAATTAATTCCCTGCATTAATCGTACCTCACCATTCATTTTGAACACTAATGGAAAGTCAAGCGGATATCAAAATACTAGATGTCATCACAGGCAGGTCAGTGTCTGAAAATCTCCCCCTTGGGATGACACACAGACAGGTGTGTGCCGGAGTCTCTGCGTGTGTGTGTGTGTGTGTGTGTGTGTGTGTGTGTTTTTGTCAAAGTGCCCTTCAGTTTGTGAGGGGTGTACTTGTTAAACCATGGCAGTAATGTAGCTCCAGTCATCTCAAGGGAGATAAAGTTTTTGATGTTTGGTGTGAGTAAAGACAGATCTGTAGGCTTGTCAAACATAGAGACGACTTCTCTCTCCCTCTATTTCTCTCTCTCCCTCTCCATCTCTCTCTCACACACACCCCTCCCAAGTATTACAAGAAGTTTTCATATCTTCACCATTTTACAGTGGGTAGATGAGAAGACTGCTACATCTGTGTTGGCATATCTCCCCTGTTCCTCTCACACTCTCTTTCAAATTTTTCATTTCCTTTCACATCTATTGACACGCCATCAAGCAGCTCACCACACATGTTTGCACAAGACACCCACACACTCCCACACATAGAGAACTACTATTTCTTTCCACTCACTGCCCCTTCTCTTCTCATTTGCTGAAAGAGACTCATGTTTTTTTAGAGGCTTTCTGACGAATAGAGTCACAGATTGAATTACAAGGGGTCTGGTTCACAGGCCGGGGCCCTACAGTAAGAGGACATGAGGACATGAATGAATCCTAAAATTTCTCAGTGTTGCGGTCCCATTGGACACTGCAGAGAAAGATGTAATGTGGATGTCTCTGACAGCCTCTACATCACCCCCTCCCTGACTCTCCTCGTCCTCACATCCCTCACTCCTCCAGCTGACGACACTCTGTGAAAGATGACAGCATGGGGTGTGTGGAGTGTGTATTGCAGCTTATATACAAGGCTAAGACTTTCATGTGGCGAGTGTTATATATAGGTGGCTAGCACAAGGCTCTTTGCACACATCAGGTGGCTTCTTCTAATTGCCTCACATGAGTGAGAAAATCTCACTTTTTTATCATCTAACACATCTATCAGGAGCATGTGATATTAAGTGGACTGAAGCAGCATGTGGTCAACCCAATAATAGTCAATTTGTCTCAAACTGAACTTACATTAGGTTGTCTCCTAACACTTTGAATAGGTGTCAGAGTGGGTGGTCTTGTGCATTCAAAGTGAAAGCCACATCTGTCTAATGAGGAGGCCGAGGTGATAGTAAAGCAGACCAAAGGGTGCTAAACACTGCTCCTGAAACAGATGTATTATACTTCAATAAATTAGGTAGCGTATATTATGATTTTGTTTGTTATAAACACACAAAGAAACCATGACTATTATTGGTGTAAAGAGTGTTATACTGGGTATTATTATACTAAATGATTATTAGTTTAGATGCTATGAAACAGCAAACATTGCGTCTGCTCATTCAAGTGACTCAATCGAAGTGCAAACTCTAATGAAAGGAAAGTAGTTCCACGGTTTAAGAGTGTGAATAGGCTCACTGAATAATTGAATAACATTGGAGTACTTAAAGTGTGTGACTGTTTCTCTTTATTAGAGCTGGTATATAAGCCATAACAGTCACTTTAATATGAATTAGCCAAAATATGCTCTTTAATATGCAGCCTTTCATTATGTTTTATTAAGTAAACAGACTTTGTTTATACAGCCTTTTGTGCAAAACACTTTACAACTTGCCTATCATTCACACACACACACACACACACTTACCTAGAGCTCACCTCTGTGCTAACCATTGGGAGCAATTTGGGTTGAGTGTCTTGCACAAGGACGATGACCTTTAAAAAAAACAAACAAACTTAAAACACACACAATCTTGTCTTTTTACGCACTGATGTGAATTTTTTGGCTCTGATTTTCATTATTCATGCCAATAGATCTAAACCAGCGTAAGCACCATGTATTTTTAACAAGCTTTAAACAATTTTGCCCCTCTGCAGCGTTTTGTATTTGTTATAGTGGTGAAACAGTTTACGGAGCAGCATGAGAGCAGCTGTCCACTGACAGTCAGCAGGGTATGAAGCAGGAGTCGAAGAGCTGTCCTTGGTCCTGAAATCTACACAGGAGCTCACTTGCTGCCTCCTTGCACACACACAGCCGCAGTCCATGGTGCTGGACAGCAGCACATTTCTGAAGGGCTTTTTTTATTGGTTGCATGCTGGCAGACAGTATTTTATCAAAATGTTATCCTCTCTCCTCTTGGACACTTTTATAGCTTGTACGAGTAGAATTTCTGCCACTCTGCAGTCTTGTCAGTTGTATGTTTGTGGACAGCTTGCTGTTTAGTTTCAGTCCATAAAAACTAAAAGGCCACACACATTTTTATTCACAATACTTAAAAGCTAAACTCTACTGTTTGTTGGTTTATCTTGCGTTTAAAGAAGCATATTCTCACTGTGTATTTTCCTATTTGCTCTGATTCTCATACACTGTCGTGTCTGTATGCATACATGCATTTATTTGTGTCATATGCTGTCCTTGTGTGTGTGTGTGTGTGTGTGTGTGTGTGTGTGTGTGTGTGTGTGTGTGTGTGTGTGTGTGTTTATATTTATAGGTTGGCAGAAATGGAGAGCCAGAATTGTTCATTCTTCACGGACAGCCTGTCTCCTGATGAAAGTCTGTAAGTATGCTGCCACCTCATTACAAGCACAGCCTTTCTCTGGGATTGTGTGTGTGTGTGTGTGTGTGTGTGTGTGTGTGTGTGTGTGTGTGTCTTTTATGTGTGAGTATGTACACTCCAACCCCCTCGAACACTTGATTGTTTCTGTGTGTAAGTGCGTTTTCTCTGGCATGTGCATGCATGTTCAACTGTTCGGCAAACAGTGGGTAATCACATAAGTAATCAAGCACATAATGAAAATGACCCACGGCGAGCAGTGTGCAGATTTAAGTCTTTTACTGTGGTCTCTAGTAGATACAAGAAAAGCCCCATTGTGTGTTTGTTTATTGAAGCTGGCTGAGTGCTGGTGGTTACATCAGTGAGAGGAATAGGGATGTTTGATGAGAATGAGGCAGCCAATAAGGTGAGGCTTCATTGTTGACAATCGAGGACGTGCTAGGTTGGACAGTGGAGACTATGTGTTTGTTCTTGTCTGTGTCTTTTTTTGTTGACATCTATGTGAGCTTGTAGCTGTTTCCCTCTTCTCTGAGAAGTTTTTGTCTTCTTTTAAAGCCAAGATTGCATGCCCAGCAGCTCTGTACACAGTGTCTGCTCTTTTAGGGCTCCAGGTGTGTGTCTGTATGTGTGTGTGTATTGAGAAGATTGCTCATTATTTCTTGTCAGATGTGTTTTATGTCAGTCGGTGTGTGTCTTTGTGTTTTGAGAGAAGGCTGTGATTGACACCACAAGAAAAGATTTGACAAAAAAATCCACAAAACCACACTACTCGTCTGCAGTGCCACACTTTTTCCTGCTGACACTTTAGTGTTGCATGCATCCCGAGTGTTCCTTTGATGGAGCTTAGCCACAAAAATGTTTGTATAGCAGTGCTTGTACATATAGTTTTGCATCTGTGTTTGTCTATACCGCTATGCCTGGGAGGGTGTTTGTATGCATGACACACCGCTTCTGCCCCTTGTGTGTAGCCGTGTGTTTTTTTTTGTTTTTTTTGCTCTTGTGCCCTCGTTTCCTGTTGTACCTATTCGTCAAATGCGTCCTTTTGTCTGTCAGCTCCTCTCTGTGTTTCCTGCTGCATGGCCCTGTACATGTCGCTGTGCTATCTGTGCCTCCAGCTGGTGTTTGGCTGGCGTCGTACTGTTCCCTGTCCTGAACCATGCCGCCTGTGTGTGCAGATTTTCACCTTCCTACTCTATGTGCTGGTCTGATATCGCTGTTGCTCCTTCCTACATGTCATTTGACATGAAAGTTCTTTAACCATGACGCATAGACCAAAGTAACCTAAGCTTCTCCTCCATACATTAGTTTAATACAAATCCCAATTAAAATAGTGGTTTTTTTTCTGAATAATATATACAGTATATGCCATGTTCAAAATTAGAATTTAAGCCTTTTAATGTTTATTTGAATAATCTATAGACAACATTTGCTAAAACGTATAATTATCCCTATTAGATTTATTTCTCTTTCTATTAACCACAAAGTCACAGAACAATTTCCTCCTCACTGATAATACTGTTGGCAGCTGGCTTTGAAAAAAGTTAATTACATAATAAAAGTCGAGGCTATTTCATATATCTGTAATTAAAATGTAATTGCTTTCATATTCTCTGTTTAATTAAGTTATATTTATATTTCTCAGGTGTAAATATAAAGGTAACTCTCCATATGGAAGTAATGGAATGTAAAAGTGTCTTTTCAAATGACGAGGATGGGAGGAGATGTGTTTAACAGTTGCAAGGAGAAGAAAAATATTCCTCTATTTACATATTAAATTAATTTTGTTTAACTTAAACAAGTATGGCCATTTGTTTAACTGACACTAAACTTCTTAAAGTAAATGCCTAAGCAAGACTGAAGTAGGACCTCCTAAATAACAGATCTCAGTGCTCAATCTTAAATAATCTGGCTATCTCTAGTCTGTTCAAGCTAGATCTATAAATTCTACATTTAATGTATAGTTAAGGATTACACCTCAAGGTCTATAACTCGACTCTGAAAAATAGATTGTGTTGTGTCCTGAAGCAGTAAAGCAAGACTACATTGGCAAAAAGATTTCTTTCCATTACAATAATTGCCAAACATTTAACAAATGCAGTTATTGGTTTACTGCCATAGGTCTGACTGATGTTTGACACATTATGTTTTCTGTTCTGCTGACAATAAAGTTGTTATTATTCGGGCAATGTATAGCTAACGAGCCACCTCCCATTTTCAATAAATGTGTCTTGCAGTGAGCCAAGTTTAATACAGAAAAAGTGAGTATTTGTGAACCCGGGGCAGTTCTTTTGTCATAGCGTCCCATCACATTGTGTCCAGTCTTTTTCGTTGTGTCCTACCTTGAGAGACCTTCCATCACCCTGCTTGCCTTGCCATGGCCTATGTTCTGTCCCAAGCTGTCCCTGGCTCTGCTTTGTGCTGCTGTTGGCTGTGTGCTGGTGGCTCAGTGTGCTGTCTCCTGTGTGGGGGACTCAGGGATGAAGATCAGTACCTCCTGCGTCACTCCAGCCCTGCCCTGGACAATGACTCACCCTGCGGACAGCACATGCTGTTGGCCCACCTGGAGCACCAGGACAAGGAGCAGCTCCAATGCACCCTCGCCCGCCTGGAGAACGAGAACAGGTCCTTAAAAAACACATCATAGAACATGGTACATTTGTTGTGTGGTGCAGTCACAAAAACATCTTTCTGAACCAGGTTGACTGCACAAACTATAACACATCAGCAGAGTAAGCTTCTATCACAAGCATCAGACTTTTTGTTAGCATTGAGAACTGGGTTAAATTTGATGTTGCTTTTAGGTTTGTTTTTGGGATAAGGGGGGGGGATTTCTTTCAGTAAAGCTTCCCAGAAAGCACGCTATCTGAAATGTATGTCTTTATTTGGAAGCCTTACTCTCTATTTAGTGCATCTGCTGAATTTTCACACCGTCTGTAGATTAAAACCTTCCAAACCATATTGAAACACACAGCATGCTGAAATATTTTCTCTACATCACACACTATATTGCCCTTTGCTGGTGTCCCTCAGAAGTCTAAATGACATTCTTTTCCGACCCACTTCAGTTCAGATGTTTTGCATCCTGGTAGCTGAGAGGTTTTGGCATTCAATAAAGGAAGCAAATTCATTTCTCCTGTCCACTTAATTGGTAACTAGAGGCAACTTTTATGTGAATGATTCATGTGAATAATTTTCCCTTTTTTTTCCAATTGTGTTGCAACCTTTTTTGCGCACACAGTGACACACACACACACACACACACACACACACACACACACGCACACTCACACACATGCACACTCACACGTATGCCAGTGCCCTGTGGGTGGTTAAAACCTTGACCCAGTTCAGTTTTTCTCTACTAAATATTCTCCCTGTTATGGCAATTCAGTGGGCTCCATTGTCCCAATTTATGAACACACATTAGTTTATATCCACTTCTGTGCCTCATAGTTGAACAATGTAGGATAAACTAACACACACTTTTTTTTATTTAAATGACTTTCAAGCAATAAAGGATATTTGCTCATTTGTAGCCCAAGTGAATTCATATGACTTTATTTGTGTAATAAATTGCTCATTTAGATATAATAGTTTGGCCTTCATCAAAAGTGTGTTCTGCTCCAAAGGGGATGGATACCATTTTAATACTTCACACTATGTATTGGATTTTAACATAAGAAAAAAATCTCTCTAAAGAAGAATATTGTATTACTCCATTAGCTCTTTTTTGCGGTTTTTGTTTGTCCTAAATAGAAGGCTCACTTATTCACCACTTAAGTAGAGCAACATGATTTTTTTCAGCAGCCAAATAAATTAAAACACGTTTAGTGATGCTTCACAGCACAGTGCACAGTTAGTTAATGGCTTTAACGTCACACACATGTCAGCGATAGATGATGGTTTTAATGCAGCTTATATTCAAAATGAGGGTGACTCAGCTCCAGGCTCCAACACGCTGCTTTGTTTTTATGTGTTGCAGTAATTCCACCACAGTATGCCAAGATTATTTTGTGGAGACACATATCTGTCTGTAAAAACAGAATGAAAGGATTTGGTTGTATATATGTGCTTTGCATGCTGCAGCATCAATTGACTGTTTTTCCTCCATGTGTCCTCATCTGTGGGTCCTCAGGGTGCTACAGGGCGAGTACAGGAGGCTGAAGTGGAAGCACGAAGAGGCAGCATCGGTTCCCATGCTGACTGAGGCTGGAGAGGGAGGTCCAGGTTCACCCACAGCAGAGGGGCAGCAGGATGAGGAGCTGCTGGCTGAGGCACGGGTCCTCCGGCAACACAAAACGCGTCTGGAGACACGAATGCAGATCCTGGAGGACCACAACAAACAGCTGGAGTCCCAGCTGCGCAGGCTCAGGGAGCTACTGCTACAGGTAGATGTCTGTAAGAGGCAGACGTGGGGTGTCATAGAGGACAGGATGTGTTTTTTTAGAGAAACGTACTTCAGCACAGATTGGGATTTGCTTTTCTATCCACTACATGTGGAGAGCAATAAAGCACTTTTGCTCCCTGCCATTTATTTTTCCACGTGTTAACATACAGTCGCATCTCAGCACTTTCATGAATGAAATATTGTGCAATGTTGTAATTGTTTCCAAGTTTTCATTGTTTTTACTTTCTTCTTTTAAATGTCAGTTTATTATTATTTTTGTTTTAAACGATGGCTTGTTAGTTTATTGAAGTTTTTCACTTAATTTCAAGTTGATTTTAACTAGCTTTGGTGTTAGTTTTAGTTTGTATAAAATATGATACCTGTCAGGGGAGAGAACTCAAAGGTGTGCATTACAAACCCAAGTCATTACATCATCTAAATACAAAAGATAGACAACCACAACTCTGCACTGGAGACAAACCATGTTTCATTGGGCCATAAGCATAGGGACCCAGATAGAAGAGGGTCGGGCCGCCCCAGGGCGACACTCATTAGTCCCCTCACCGTGGGGCTAATACTAGAAGTGTAGAATTTCATAAGTACTAGAACTGCCGTCAGCACGTCACTGATGTCAGAGAGTTCTCAACCATCAGAATCCCTGTGGCTCATCTCCTGGATCTTTGCCAAAGCCTCATCTTGTCTCCTCTTTTCATTGTTTTGTTTGGCAACACGTCTTTCTGTGTGTGTGTGTGTGTGTGTGTGTGTGTGTGTGTGTGTGTGTGTGTGTGTGTGTGTGTGTGTGTGTGTGTGTGTGTGTGTGTGTGTGTGTGTGTGCTTATGTCAGTGTGTGCACATGTGTGCATGTCTCTCTCTCTGTCTGTCTGTCATTGTTCAGATAGTACCCACGCATAAATATAGAATACATCCATAGACACACAGACTCATTAAGAACTATTTGTGCTTGTGCATGGATGAGGCCAGACTGTCAAACCTCACATTGCTATGTGTTTAGGGAGACATAAACATTGACAAGCACAAGATGGTTGGAAGATTTGCCAGCATGAAGAAGAGGAGGATGCAATTTTTAAAAGGGGATGGAATATTTATAGTTTTCAGAAGTTTCTGAAATACACTAACCAAACTACACTACAGCTGACAGAGCAGGGACATTTGGGACAGGAGCAGAGCAATAAATAAATCCTAGGCTTTCTGCCTAAAGGGCAGAGACAAATTCAAGTCCAATGGTTTGCAACCACAGTGCCTCACATACATTCTTTAAGTACAACAAGACATAGATGATCCATGTAAAAAATGTAAAAATGACAACTAGTGTGAAAATGTGAAATTTGAACTTTGAATATATGACATTGCAAGATGGAACGACCAGTAGTGGGAGCACAAAAAAGTGCAGTATAGAAAGAGTTAAGGTAGAGGATAAGCTTTAAGACACCCTGAAGTGTAATAGAAGGGATTTACTGCAGTCTGAAGGAAAGTTGTGAAAAAAAGATGGGCAGGAGAGTAGGAGCTGACACATGCGGTTGCTGGGTTACTATAAAATAAAAGTGTAAATTGTTTGCAACGGGAATACGGTGGCAAATTATGCATGCAGGTCGCAGACTAAAGAAAAAGCAAAGGGAGAGGGCTGCAACAGGATAAAAGACACATCGAAAGAGAGTAGGGATGCTTCCTCTTCAGGTCAAAGAGTTGGAAATTCAGAGTGAATAGAAAAGATTGTGTGGCAGGAGAAAAAATGCAGTTCAATTCCTTTTCTCCTGGGACCAATATCACAGTTTCATTTCCTCAAAACATAAAATCTGCAAAATCTGCCTTTGTTGTCAGTGGAAGTGTATGTATGAGTTCCTTCTAGTCCCTGCAGACACCTCAGTTTTGACTACTGCACTTACTCACCTCATGAGTATTGCTACACTGCTGCTATAAACAATACAAAAGATGCTGGGTTGCATGTATGTGGTATTTGGGAATACCCTAAAGGCTTACATTATGCATCTTTGATTGTGATTTAAGGCCTCCCCCCACCTTCTTGAATGAATACCTTTCTTTTAATCTGTCTATCACAGCACAAATCACAGTAACCTGATGGTTTTGTGTAACAGATGTCGGGCTAAATTGGCTTTTTTTTAAATGATTCTGCTCTGTGATGACTGCTGGCTGACTGCCATCAACTATCACATTCTCATTACTATGTGAGAGGCTAAACAGCTCTGTAGGCTGAAACATTGAGCAATTATCTGTCTTTCCAAAAAAACAGCCCAAAGATGATTCAGAGGCCAATGGATCAGAACCGTCAACTTTGTCATCTCCTGTGTCCGGAGGGGGACACCACGGGGAGCCGGCCAGCAGGGAGACCACTGATACTGAAGCAGCAGGTCAGCAACGTGCAGCCAGGCTCAGATGTGGGCTTCACACATGCATGCTCATTGAATGTGAAATCAAGCAGCCGCTCCAATCCCACTCCTAACCACTCATAAAGGGGTAACAATCAGTGTTTTTTTTGTGCTTGTGTGTTAGGAGATTATATGGAGCACGAACAGGACACGGTGCTGCAGCTCCAGGAGGTAATCGAGCAGCTGAGAAATGTCTTCCCCTCTGAACCGGGTGAGTTCATCCTAGCTGCAAGGATCGTAGCAGCCATAGCATCCCAGAGCTTCGGAGTCTGACTTCTTAAACTCCTCCATCACCCGCGGGAGAATGAGAGATGGAGAGGAGAGCAAATATGTACTGCTATGGGTCGATAGTAGGGGGGGAGGGACGGGGAGATTAAGTGGCAAGAGAGGAGGAGTAAGATAAAGGGGAGACAGTAGCACAGAGAGAAAAAGAGAGCGTTAGCGTCACACTGTGAAAACTGTCCCGTTGCATTTAAAATGCAATTTGCTGGGCAGTTTAAAGCCTGTAACTTGAACAAAGAAAGGGATTATCATAATTACAGCCGTCTTAGTTATAACCAAGAACATTCTGTCAGTCTTGTGAGTGTTTAATGGAAATTGTAAAAGCTTTTCCTTTTTGCTCTTCCTCTCTTTTCTAATTTCAGGCACCACCTCACACATCTAACCCTGAGTGGGCCTAAAGGGGCAGGGAGAAAGCCCGTAAGGACGCTTGACGGCCGAGGGAGGAGCTCCATATGGCTCAGGTCGGCCACAATCCACCGGGCGCTGTGACCACTGCAGCAGCTATGATACCCAGAGCTTAACCCTCCACTGGAACTCTGTGCACTAAAAGCCTTTTTCATGCAAACTGCTAAAGGCTCACGCTGATGTCCGTTTGGCCAGGTCGTGCTTTAAAACTTGCAGTGGCGCAGCCTGACACCATGTTAACCAGCCAAAGGAAACTAAAGTAAGCAGCAGGTCAGGGAGACTTTGAAGTAAAAGGAAAATGCTCAGCCAAGACACTGTGTTCTACCAGTATCTGTGTAGTCATTCGAGGGTGTGAAGCTTTATATCAGTCCACAGCACAAATTGGACCAATGATTTAAAGGACTCTTAAAAAAAAATGCAAAAAGGAATGAGAAGAAAATACCCTTGTTTGGTCGGAATGCCTCTATCTTCAGTGTTTGTGTGCGTTTTTTTTTTTCCATGAATGTCTTATCATGGTTTGTATTTTTGTTTTTGAAGGGAGGTGGTGCGTTAAAGCTCGCTAGCGTAAACTAGATCAGGGTTGGGTGAGTCCATTTCATGTGGCTGCGTGGTGCGGATTGTCAGGGAGTTGACAGCAACCACAACAAGCTTAATTACTTTGTGAGAATGACACATCATGAGTTAAATCCATGTTTATTTAAGACAGCCAAAGTGCCCGCTAGCACAGCGCCTCTGTATGCACACACTGTGTTTCTCTTATCCTCCCTAAATGCTTGTTGCTGTCACTGCTTGCCTCTCCTAAGTGAGCCCCTTACGCACATGCAAAACCACTTGCACCCGCTGTATGTGCACACACACACATGTATGCTGCTACATCCATACTAATGCACCTGTCCCTCATTGTGCACAGCTACACAAACTGCTCCCTGCTCGATCGCTTACACGTGCTGAACTGCATCCCAGGAACACCGACCTCCATGAAAATTGAGCGTCATTCATCTCGTTGTCTCGCAGGATTCAGACAAGCTTTCAGTTTGTATTGTGACTGAAATTGGGGGTTTTTGTTGAGGAAATGTCTTCTGATAAATGTCAGACCTCCTCTCTGTAATCTTTGTCTTCTCCTGCTGTGTGCAAAGAAAGAAGAGGAGGGAGCTCTAGGCAGAATAGCGTCAGGCTGAAGCTCTCTCTCTCTCTCTCTCTCTCTCTCTCTCTCTGTCTGCAAGGCCAATTCTAGACACTACAGGGAGTGATGCAAGGCCGCCATGACATGATATTCCACTGACTTCTTCCTTAATGATCCCCTCTCTTCATGTAGATTCGCAAAGAACAGTCACTATTGACCAACACGCCCAATTTTCAGTGCTAATGCAGACTTAATTGCTTTTAGATTTACAAGAAGACAAGTAGCTGAAATGGCTTTGCCCTCACGGTATCAAGGTCATTGGGCGCATTCTGTTTAGACACAGCACAGTCAATTAATGCCTTAAAACCAAACTAAATCCATATAAAGTAAGGGTTTATGGCCTTCCCCCCCCCTTATGTGCTATATTTTCAAGGAAGGAGGTTGCATCAGCTGCCTATTTGTGAGTCTGCTTCTGTCACACCCTAGACAGGCTGTAGTTCATTTGAGGAAAATTAGACAAGTGTGCGTGAGCATCCATTCATTGAAAACCAACTAAATAGTGCTTTTATAGGTTAACCTATGTTGCCGGGCTGATGCTTGGAGGGACAAAAGATCTGAGAGATAAGAGGAAAGGTGGTAGAGAGGGAAGAAAAATACAATCCATTTATTGCTCGAGGGCTGGTGGGAGAGATCCACTTTGATGTGCCTGCCACAGCGAGAAATCTCCAGAAGCAAGACAAGAGATTGCCTGAAACCAGTAAGCTGTGGCTCCGTGTGTTTCTCCGCAATCACACCACTTGATTCTCACAGAAAAGACGGGAGATTTACACAGAAAGGAACTCATCTTTATTCTTAAAAAAAAAAAAAAAAAAAAAAAAACACGCTATGACCTCATATACATGAGTTTGAAACCCATGTTCCTGCACTCATTACCCCTCCAGGCACACAGCGCTCACATTTTGACATCATCCTCCCTTCTCAGCACTCAGCCTACCTGTACGTTTATGATTCTGTTGCTTGGGAACTGTCCCCCAAGCATGCAGAAACACAGGTTTGTGAGTCGGTAGTGTGATAAGCTGTTCTTAATACAAATGCTTGTAGCCTTAAGGGAAGCGAAAGTCAGCGCTGCTCCCCTCTTCTCCACTTCCGCTTCCACTGTTAAAGACGAGTCATTATCATCTGTTGAATCCATCTCCACTTTAAGTGCATCTCTCACAAGTCAGAACAAAGGGCAGCAGAATAAACTCGACAAGCAATGTTTACTCGTTTTATTTATTGGTAGTCACAGATCTCATTTCTCATTGATGATCACCCGGCAGCCTCGCACTCCATTCTGCGGTATGTGGGCGCACATAATGATGTAACAGTGACGCGTGAATAAACAGCAGAGGAGGGATTCCCCATAGGGCCGCGTGTCAACATTTGTCATGTTTGTTTTCAGACAATAATGAGGAGGCAGTCTGAAATGAATATATTTTGTGGTCCCATGACAGATTATTATACATCAGTTTTTCCACATGCTAAACAGACTTTTGTGGTCCTCCAGTTGCACGAGAGTCACACATCTCATCGACTTATCTGATCCATGCGCAAGTTCCTTTACCAGTAGCAGCTCCCTATATTCCTAACACATAGTAAAACTCGCCCTGCTCTCTCTTTATCGCTCTCTGCGGTGCAACTGAAGTTGTTTGATTGAAGAAGAAGGCTCTCCACGGAGGCAAGAGTCACCCAGAGGACACAGCCATTTCGCTCCAGTCGTCATGTAGCCGGCCGACCCGGTAATGGCTCCAATCATTACCCTCCATGTCTACTGTCATGTATCCAAAGCTTAGAATAAGGACACATGCGCTTCTCATGACAGGGCAATGAATCACCTAACCTCAAACACCATGGTGTTTAAAACACTAACACATATACACACACACTCATAACTCACTGGTGGACTGAGGTTACTCATTTGTTTTTTTTTGTTTTTTTTTAAATCACCATTAATATACCTCATTAATCATTCAACTGTTTATTTTTTAACGGGTTTTGATTTGATGTTTTTGTCCAGCACTCAAACACTTCTTGCTGTCTTTTCTCTGGAGTTTTTAATCTGTGAAAAAAAGAAAAAAAGGTTTTCTGAAGAAAGGCTTTTTACTGTAATAACAAGTGGGTTACTGGCTGCTTTCTACTCTTTGTGTACAGAAATAAAAAAAACTTTGTATTTGCCAAACTTCTGTGCTTTTTTTTTTTCCATGTCCCTGCAGTTATCCCTCCGAGAACTGAATAATGAAACCTAATGCGGGTTTATGTTTACATTAATTTTTCTTCTTGTGTTTATATTCGGCTCTGTGTGTGGCAGAATCAATATTTCCAGTTGAGACTTGGGGCTTTGGCTGTTTATCACTTGTCTTTCTCTCACTTTTTGTAATTATATTCCTGCCCCCCTCCCCCCTGATTTAGGTCAAATCCTTTCTGCACACAGCTTCCACGAGTTCCTTTGGCCCTGCACGAGACATTTCCAGCCTGTTGGTCTACTCTGATTGAGTGTCACCACTTCCTGCCTCATCACTGCTGCCTTTGTTCCCCTGGCTTGTTCTGCTCGGGCCTATTGCAGCACTTGATTGGCATTTGACCTTCTTCCTGCCCTTATCGAGTGCTGATCTCTTGCTCACTACATTATCTCCGCCTGTGCCGCTGGCCTCGGGATCACTATCTTCCTCTGCTGCTCGGTGATCCGGTGCACCTTGCCTGTCCTCGTGTACCATGACCCTCTCTATATTTTTATTATCTAACCCCTCTCCACTCGCTCTCCCGCTCTCTGGGCCCGGCTCTTCATTACTCTGCTCTGCTTTTGCATCTGGATTTTTCTCTGCCTCTGCGTCATCTCCTGCCTTCGTCTCAGCAGGGGCAGGTTTCTCTGTGCTTTCCTTGTCTTCTATTTCTCTGTTTTCTGTCTTCTTGTCAGCTTCAGTTTTTTCTTCAGGGGCTTTCTGTGAAGTTGGATCTTTCTTCTTTCTTGCAGCACTCTTTGTCTTGCTGCCACCAGGCCCCCACTTCTCCTGCGTCGTATCCCAGTAAGTCTTTTTCTGGCGGGCATGCATGGTGCGTAAGCTCTCGCCCATCTTTTTTAGTTCCTGTCGCACGAAAGATTTAAACTGTGGGTCTAATTTCTCCACCATTTCAAAGTCCCGCCTCGCTTCACGCTCGTTGCACAAAGCGGCATGTGCTCGTGCTCTCTGGTACACCGCCTTAAAGTTACCTATGGAATATGAGAAAAGTCAGTGAAGTGACTCACATAAATGACTGAAATACTGAAAACAGACTGGGTTAGCAAGATTAAACAGGTCAGAAAGAATAAAACTAGTAAGCAGTAAAGTAAACTTGTGAGAATAACGGCGCTGAACGCCAGCTGTGAGAAATGAAAAAGACAAAGTTTTAGGCAAAGTTGGAGAGAAATAAATGAAGGAAAAAGGAACGCATACGAACAACCATTTCACATCAGCCTACACTATAAATAATTCAGACATAGTCAAAACAAAAGAAAACAATGAATTTCTTTTTTTTTGACTCTGATGTCCATGGGTGGGTGCCAAGGGGAGAGAAAGAGAGACTCTGCAATGCGGTTGTGAATGTTTGGTTCCTTCTTTCTGGTAAACTCAGAGATCAAGGATTGTTGCTCTGCTGATGCAGGCATTTGCTGAGGGCCCGGCCTTTGTACCAACAACACCTTGATACTTTTAAGTTTAAATATGACAACGTGTTTGGAAAACTAAGCATGTTAAATACTTGTGCCTAGTCTTGTATAAAAAAAACCAATGTTTTTTCTAACTTTAAAACAAAAAATTACCTTTATGTGTCTTCAGCAGCTTGGTGTTGAGCTCCACCACCTGCTGGTAACGTTTGAGCTCCAGCATGCACTGGCTGAGGTTGAGAGTCAGCGGAAGGCGCACGTTCTCCAGTAACTCCCAGTCTTCACTCTGTCGATCCACCTGCTGAGTAAACACAGAGAGCACAAGAGGAGTGTGTGTGTGTGTGTTGGGGGGGGGGGGATGGGGGGGGGGGGGTCATGGTGATGGATGACACACAAAATGTTCAAAAGATGAAACAAGAATAAAAGTTGGACGACCAAAATAGAGATGAAAAACGGGAGAAGGTTGGGGGAATGATGGAGCAGACAGATGCTGAAAATGATGGGTTAAAGAGTGGACAGTTGTAAGAATAGAAGGGAGAGAAATGAAGACGGAGGAGGGCAGGTTGACGGGAAGGAGGCGTGAGGGAGCTAGACAGCGCCGTGTGCCATGGGTGAGGCTGTTTAAAAAAAAAAGAAAAAGAGGAGAGACAAAGCACAGGTGAGTGCTGTCACAGTGATATCTCTGTGGATAGCTGTTATTTTTAGCCTTCTTTTCCCTGCTCTTCACTTCGCAAGCATACCTACAATGCCACAGCTGCTCGTCAGTAGAAGAAAAACAATGACAGCTGATTACATTTTACGAGGCACAATGCTTTTCATGAGACAACAGTTTGGCACAAACAATCCCTTCATCCCTCTGAACGGCTCAGACTGGAGGCTGTTAATAATGTCAATCCTGTTGTCCATCTGTGCATTCATTGTCCTCACAAAAGGTTTTATTTGACACTGGATTTTCCAGCCCAATACATATTCTTACATTTGTGCATGCTTCTCCTAACCTGGCAGGGTCAGACCAATTTGCAAATGCCAATAAGTCTGATACTGCTGAGTTGAAATGTGATTTGTTATGACAACCAATCAGAGAACAAGGTTATGTACCAAAGGATGCTCGGCTAGGTAGCTAGTTATTGTGCCTTTTTTTCAACATTATTGACAGAGAGCATCAGTTTGTTCAGTGCTGAGGCCACAGTAGATTCAAAACATCCATGACAGCAGTCATATTGGGTTTTACAAAAAAAAAAGAGAGTTAAAACAAGCTACAGCTAGTATTAATAATAACAAAATAATAATTTAGTTTTATTCTGTCATTTTCAGGAAATTGTTGTTGATGTCACATTTTAGTCTCTGTTTTCTGTTTTGGTCAAGATTGATTCATTTTTTCATTACAGTCTGATTTTAGTCAGATTTTTATTTTAGTTGTATTGTAGTCAATGTTTTAGTTACAATTGTCAGACAGTTTCATCAAACTTAAATGGGTTTTGCTGGAAGATATTTCTCATGGCTGTAGATGTCCTTAAGAAGTAAGAACACCATACATTATTTAGTCATCTCGAATAACTCAAACTGACACACAGGATCTGATTCATAAAAGGATTGTGTGGCACATTATCTATTTGAGGACAGAACTGAGCTCTGTCAGGATCAGGGGTGGCCCAACTGGGGCGCTGACTAATGCAGGGTAAGCTTGTGAGCATGAGTGAAAGAAAAGCATTTTTGACCCTCTCTGTTTCCACTTCTCATTTCTACTTGATCTATCAATCTATATATAAATCTAAAAAATGCTATATTCATGTGTATTTGTAAAAAACGAAACAAAAAAAAAACAGAGTGCAAACATTACAATCGTCTTAGTTTAATTCTTCAAGAAACCATAAAGGAGATAAAAAAAGTTGAAGAACGAACTAAAGGAAAAGTGTCACACCAGAATTCAAAGGAGGCCACAAGCAGCCTCCAACACAGCCCGGATACTTGATTTTAACACAAGTCCTGCCTCTGTCGAGGAAAAATCTTTGTTAAGGATTTTGGGGTGGCAACTAAACAGACTTCATGGCCGGCCTGACAACCCCTGGCTGCCCCCTGGATCTGCCCCTGTTCATGATGGAAACACAGCTGAGAGAAGCGATGACTGCAACAACAACTAAAAAGTACCTCCAAAAAAGTGGAAGCTATTTTTGTCGTTCATAGAGATACCACCCAAAAAGAAGAGAAGAAGCAGCCATCTTGGTTGTTTGTGGAGAAGAAACCTCAAAGTGGCAGCCATCTGATTGATTACAACACAGCTCAAACCCACTCCATGCATATATTGTCTATATGAAGGCCTGACCGGAATCAGGTCAGACGGAAATGTGTGTATACATGAGGAGGACCAGACACATCTACCTGAATAAATAAACTACGAGTTTGAAGATGAATCTATCCTCTAGGCTGTGCTTAAACCCTCTGTCTGTTACACTTACCTTATTCTGAAGGAAGTCCACATATTCTAATGCCTCCTTTAGTTTTACAGACGCCTCTTCAAATGTTTTTTCCTTAATGAGGAAGTTTCCTTCTTTTTGCAGCAACATGACCAATCTTAACATCTGCTGCCAGTCCTTCCCGTCTGTTACATTGGAGGTAGCCTCAGAGGTGTTTGCTTCCTCTTTGTCTCCTGTGCCCTCAGTGAGTGTGATCTTATTTCCCCTGAGCTCCTTGTTATGGACCTCTGTACATTCTGATGGAGATCCTTCTTTTTCTTCCTCCACTTGGTCTTTGCCCTCGATGTTGACGCTTTCACTGTCTTTTTGTTTTCCTTCGTCCTCCACCTCTTCGTCCTCCTCATTACGCTCTCTCTCTTCCTCGTCTTCCTTTTTGTTCTCCGTTTTCTCCAGCATGTTCCAGTATGTCTCCTTCTCCTCCCAATACTTCTCCTTCATGCGTTCTGACAGGGCCTTCAGCTCTCGGTGGACAAGAGAGGCCAGAGTGACGTCCAGGTGGGACACCATGTGGAAGTCTCTCCGGGCTTCCTTTTCATTCCACACGGCAGCGTGAGCCTTTGCTCTCTTGTAGTAGCCCTTCACACAGTCTGAGACACAGAAAACACACACAAATACAAAAGGAGAGAGTTATTAATGTCTAACAGATAAATATTCAAACTATAACCTGCTCTGTGAAGCTGAATCTGATGTGGAGATTTATCAATGCAACCTGTGTGTGTATTTATTTCTTACCAGCTGAGTTTGCAAAAGAAACAGTTCACCAAAAACACATAGCCTACATGCTACAGCTCCTTTCCTCACTCAAACATTACTCAGAGAATAACAAATTATTGCTACTAAATTATTTCCTTTGTCTCCTCAGACATATCTTTCTATTATTAATTGAATTCTGATGTCTTTTAATACAGTCTATGGTTTCTTCCAGACTTAAACTAGCAGAAGAAGACAAATGAACCATATGGAGAAATAAATAGAAAAATGAGAGAAACAATGTTTGCATGATTCAGTTCTTAATACTGACTAAACATTAATTATACATTTTGATGTCTAAAAAATGTTTCAAGGCTATAATTTAAGAAACACTTGAGTTAATGATGGGAGTAATTTATGCAGATTGAAGAAAAAGATACCATTATGCACGATTGTTTGTTGGACAGAAAAAAAATATGTGTTAAGAATCCCTCCAAACCAGATGTGTACTGTGAAGGGACCTCACTGTAGTGCCCCTCTTCTCAAAGGCTATTAGCAAGAAACTGGAGACATGCCAAAATAGAAATAGTTTGGTATCAGTGGTAGGAACTGTTTCTAAAAATCTGGCAGTCACTATCAAAATGTTTGTGTTTATCACTGGACAATGTGAAGGGTGAATTGATGACACAGAGGGTTTGAGCTTGTGTTTTTCTAAGGACCTTGTATTCAACAATGTGTCCGTCAGCAGCAAGATCCCAAGCAGAATATTCTTTAAAATATATTTATTTGGCATAACAAGCTTAAAGAGGATTTTAAATGTTGAATGTTTTTTGTGATGAATAGTGAGAAACTAACATTGGTGTCAACCGTTCTATTTTTAATCTTTATTTCTAACTATATCAGTCACCAATTTGAAAAACTGTGAAAAAAGAACTGATACCGGGGATTCTCATTTAAAAGCAAATCAAGGCTTCGCATGTTATGTGAAAAGTTTAGAATGTAGCCTAAGACAAAAAAAGTTTGGTGCTGTGAGAGAGAGAAAAAAGATCCCACATCAGGACTTGACTGAAACAAGGGGAGCTTTGTTTAGTAGAGTCAGAATCTCATATTGAGGGTAAACTGAGCTCAGTTTGTGACATTGACTTAATAAAGGTGGGATTTCATAACAAATTGTCCTCGTATTATTATAAAAACTTTGCCTATTTGCTTTGGATGAAGATTTTCTATTTGTTAAATGCTAGCAGCCTGTTAGTTTAACAGCTACCCCACTCTACCAAATATTAAAAATATCACATTAATCAACATATTTGATTTGGTTTCTATTTAAAAAGGTCCAAAAAAAGAACATCTTGCTAGCTTTACTGAGTCTGGCTAAAATGAATAGTCCAGGATGAGTCCCTGTAAAACTGTTCATTGTTCTCTACAGATACCGATTGAACTGGTGTCATTAAAGATGCTGGCATGTGGACTTAGTTCATTTAGACAGAATAAGACTTACTGTTCCCTCATAGTGTAAATGACAGATATGAAAATGTCATCAGTGTTCTCATCTTACTCTCCGTCAAAAGTGATTAAGTGTATTTCCCAGAATGCACACATAAATCCACACCGTACTGCCTCTGTTTCAGCAGAACAGGCTCATGGGCTTTGTTAGGTACTCACTGATGGCTCTGATTTTCTATTCCTGCAAATTCAATTTCCCTCTACGATAAATCTCCATTCAGCCAACACTTAAACACATTTCTCTGTCGCCTCTGGCAGAACAGACACTGCAATGGGAGCTTTTCTGAAGAATAACTGGGTTAAAATAAAAGGAAGAAACAAGTGGAGTGACTTCAACAGAAATAGACAACATGACATTGAAATGCTCATGAAGTGGATAAGAAAAACATGTGAAAAGGGTCCAAATAAAACTTTATGTACAGCTAAAAGGGATTGGAAAAAGGGAGCTAGAGAGGGTTAAAAAAAGAAGAAGAGAAAGAGGTAAAGATAGACTGATGCGGGTGTTGGGTGGATCTTTTGTCATAAGCCTTTTCAAGAGACTGCACCTTGAGCTGGGCTAGTGGAGCTCACAAACTGCTGCTCATCATTTTAACGCTGCCCTTCTCTCACAGGCGGGGTTTAAATCCTTCATCCTCCTGCTCAGAAACCACACACATCATATAAAGGCACATTCTCGCAGCTGTATACACACATATAATAAAACTGGGAATAGCATAAAGGCTGCCTCTGTGGGCCCCATCCCTGTGAGAGGGACATGATTCAGAAGGCTCTGAAGTGGATATTGTGCCAGCATGTGAGCTCCTCCAGGATTATATGAGTAGCCATGGGTATGACAGAACAATTCCCAGGATGGCTTCAGCCATAAAGCCCTCCCACATACTTTCAAAGAATACACAACATGCAAGAACCACTGCAATAAAGCCAGCCAAAGGCACCGAACACTGACCTGTGAAGTTTTTTTTTTTTACAACATTTGAAATAGTTGTTTGTTAATGTGTTCAGGCCAGGCGGTTGAAGAAACTCAGTAGCTACAGGTCACTCTTTTCACTCATCACAGAGCAGCTTTTCCTGTACTTTATTACAAAAAAAAGAAGGTTTGACATATTCAGAAATACTCTTCTTTGCTTCCTTGCTGATCTGCCTGTTAAGTTTCATGCTAAAGCAACGCCACAGTGTGCTTTGTTTAGCATGATGACGGACAGTTTTAGGAATTAGCTAGCTGCTGAGGCTAGTAAAATTTCACCTACAATATTTTTTACATTGTTTTTATTTTTTAACCTTTACAAAAATGCGGGCCCATTTCATCTGAAACAGAGTCAGGATCTACAGCCATGAGACAGTGTTCTTAGATCAGCATAAACGTAAAGCTAACAGGGGTTAACAGCTAGCAAGGAAGATTTATGTTACCTTTGATCAAAGCTTACCATCATCTTTAAAGATAAAAAAGACTATCTGTCAAGAGTATCTAAGTTAATTCATCTTAAGACAACAACATGTTCATGGTTTATTTATCATGTAATACAGAAACCATGTAAATGTATTGATATAATGAATTATCTATTTCCTCCAGATCGTGGTACGATCATAAAACATTAGAATAATGGGTATCTGGTTGATTTGATAGAAGATGTCAGCCTTTAAGCTCATTAAAACACAATGGAGTCTCTGTGTTAGACTTTGATTGAAGTAGAGGCTGATGCTTTGATCAATAATGGGTTCACTCGTTGATCTGACCTTTTCAACTTCAGTGAGCTTCTACAGAGCAGTCGTCAGAAGCCATTTATGTGTGCAGGTATATTACGACTACCGGTCTCAGAAAAGCAACATGAGTAATAAGAATAGATGTTTTTAACAGGTTTATCTTCTCATTATCTTGAAAGACTAAAATAAGTAGTGACTGTGATCTCAAGACAGTAGCATTAAAAAAAAGACTTGTCTGTCCTTAGCTGACTTAAACAGACATGACACAAAGGAACACGTTATTAGGTCGGACAGGCATGCCTACTATACTGACCAGGCCAGTTTGTGTCTGATATATGCCTGATTAAGTGAACAATCCTGGCTCCTTCCCAGGTTTTTTTTTTTTTAAGTATATATACATAGCCTACTTTGGAAAATTACAAATTTCAAGTCACAGTTCAACATTTTAATTCCTATCTTGCAAAGCAGTGTTGCACAATCCATTTTCAGATTCTATCTCCTTGTAATAGCCAAATCCCCTTTAGCATAGAGACTGGAAGCACAAACAGCTAACCTAGCTCTATCTTAATATCCCTGTACCTTACCAATTTCTCATTCAGGGAGGGCCAAGTAGCTGCTTCAGGTCTGTAAGGGCCAGCTCAATAAAAGATTTTTGGGACCGATGCCGATATTGATATAAGGGATAAAGAAAATCAGATTTCGATATATACTGGCCAATACTTTCTTAGATCTATCTTTGATCCGTAGAGATAAATAGATATAAATATACACATTTTTTGCGGTCATCCCTAAAACGCAGTTATCAAACACTTGTGGAAAAGGTATACAATCAAGACAAGATGGTCACTCAACTGGAAAGTAACTGATGTTGTATCACCGCTTGACAGACTGGAGGGGGAAAATGCTTGTTGTAATCCATATAGCACACTCTGCTGGTGATAGCCAAAAATGTAAATGCTATTGTAATTCAATGATACTCAAATGAATGCTATTTGACTGGTGAATGAATCTAGGAATATCAGTGCATATCTCATACATTTAGCTGATACGATAGTAACTTGGTATCGGCCGATATTATTGGCTGGCAGATTAATCGGTCGGGCTTTAGTGTCTATGTGCTAAGATAAGCTTTACATCACCTGGCTTTGCTTCATATTAAAACTAGAGGCATGGTGTGGGTGTTAATGCGCTTCTTTTCTCTGCACTTTTTGTATAAACAGATTTTTCTAAATTATGAAACTGTGTGAATGTACTTGACACTAAAAAAATAGAGTCAACTCTCCCTGAAAAGGTACGTTAGTAATGTGTTTTAGCATAAAAAAAGAAAACATAATCATCTATCTAAAGATTTTTATACAACAACACTTTACCTTTGTGTTTCTCCAACAGTTCAGTGGTGTGCTCAATAACTTCATAATACTCCTCCAGCTCCAACATACACTGGCAGTAGTTCAACTCCAGGGGGATGATCATTCGACCTATATTAATGTAGTCCACATCACCTGGCATCTCCTACACACACAGACACACGCACAGATGGGATAACAAGAATATGATCAGCGCTGCTATGTTCCTTGGCATCCCCTACACATATTTGAATAAATTATGCGAATTCTGTAGGTTTAAATATTGTCAGACAGATTCAAACAGTGTGTCACTGGGACACCAATCTCTGCCTGACAGCGCTTTACAAGCTGTTTGCACACAGGCCAGGTATCTGAAGGCCTCTAACATCAAACTTGTTAACATGTCTAAAGCTGCCAACAATCCATTTCCAACACACAGAAAGAATGCTTAACTCTCTCATATCAGTACATCTCATAAACAACATGTTCTCCCCCCCAGTATACTTCCGGCGGTCTATTCCCCTCTCATCCTAGACAGACTTCCACAGCTCCCCTTCCTCTGTTCTTTCTAGCCCTCCCACCCTGCTGCCTGTAATCAGGGACACAGTGAAGCAGAGCAAAACAACAGACAAGGAATTTCCCAAAGGAAAGAGAGGAAGTTGCATGTCCCAAAAACCTTAAAAATCCTGAGACAACCTCACAATTCACAATCCGGTTGCCTCCCTCATTTACTCACTCTCGACTGGATTGTTTTGAGCAGCAGGACGGCCTCTTTGTACTTGCTGGCAGCCTCTCTGAATTGTCTCTGAGTGACCAGCGCATTGCCCTGCATGTGGAGACTTGGCACGGCCTGCAGCTTCTCATCCTTGTCCATCATCCACGACTCTCTGTAGTAGGACATGCTGTCTCCCACCTGGATGCAGCAGGGGAATGAGGAGAGTGCAAAGGATCAGAATTGTCGTGAAGAAACAGGTTTAGGTGGCTTACAGAAGGGTAAAGAAACCATGAACCTTTATAAATGGAATTGTGCTACAGTTTTGTAATATGTTGTTTTTAAATGATCCTACTTTGTACTTTATGGTTATGATTAGGTCTCGGGTAAGGGTTAGGGTCAGTGTTTGGATAAGGTTTAGATTGTTAAGGTTAGGGTGATTTATGCAGGGTCCATTGGGGGAAATGTTAAGGGTTAAACTTGTGAAAGGGTTATTGTATTTGACTATTTATGCAGAATACCTATTATTTATTACCACAGTAACAAATACTCTTCCCGGATAAAACAACAGACTACATCTGAAAAAGTAAAACAAAAGAAAAATAAAAGAAGTCTAAGTCAAGTTTAACATCAGGTAATTTAGCCCTTCAAATATACCAGGGATTAGAGTTAAAGTGTTAAGGTTAGTATGATTTGTGTGACATATTTGGTTATCAATTCCTGAGATTTTACAACAAAAGTTTAACGAAACAGTAAATCATGAGGCGTAATTACATAGAGAAGGGCCTGCATTACCACACAGTTATTTTCTGTCTATTGCTCATTAAACCTGCTCAGGTTAGAGTGATGCAAAGCTATGATGGCATTTATTAAAAAATCATCAATAAGAATGATTTACTTTTAATTTCTACTGAAACAAACAAAACAAACAAGAAAGTCCCCCCAGTCTTGAAAAATGATTGTAATTATATTTTTGAAAAGAACAATAACTTGTTAACAAAATCATTCATCAAAGGCAAGCAAGCTCCAAAATGTCACACTCGGAAAGGGTTCATTAAGCATCTAGGGTATATTCACTTTGGCTACTTGAAGCACTTCAACACTTCTTGAAGTATAACTTCAAATATACTCAGATTGCAACCACATGCAGTATATTATTACAATTGGCCAGTGCTGCTTTCATTCTAAAAAGATCTGAATGTTCTTCCACCGTTGAAGATTTGTCAACATGTGAAGCTGTCAGCAACAAGAGGAACTGTAAATCACTTCTACAGCTTCTGGACCCCTGGTGAGTGTTAAGCTAGTTCTGGATAATATATTATTTCAAAGTGTTATGTTCTCGGCTTAGTGGGAATTTCCTTTTGTCATTTCTGTCAGTGGATCAAAAACCATGTGGTATGTAGGAGTGACATTAAAGGCAATTAACTGTCAGCCATTGTTTACACACGCTACATTTTGAGAGCGCTGAATGTTGGGGGAAAAAAAGAAGACAGCAGAGTGTTTGTATTTTTGGGCTATTTATACCTTAATTGTAGAGATAGAACAGTGGATAGTGTTGAGAGAGCTAGAGAGAGAATGTAGAATGACACGAGGGACAGGAGCCACAGGTCGTATATTTGAACCCGGGCCCCCCCTCTTTGATGGCTACAGCCTCTGTACAAGGGGTGCAAAGTAATCGCTAGGCAACTGGCGCCCCACACAAGTAGTTTCTTGCCACTAATGCTTACCTGTAACAGCTCCATGATAAATATAAGCGGTTGTGGAGTTCTCATTAGCTCATCCAGCTCTGGGAAACCAGTGGTGTGATAGTGAAACATGTTTCCCATGCCGCACATGTGTCTCTGGCCCTCGAGAGGGTCTTTCCCTTGAGCGATCAGCCTCATTCCCTTGGAAACGATGGGGTATAGACCTGTGTGCTGCAAAAAGAACACATCAACAAGAACACAAACAACAAGTCACCAACTATGAATAAAAACACAATATAAAAACCCTGGTGCCGCCAGCTTGTGCCAGTCAGCTCTACAGAGGAAACACAAGAAATGGCCACAGTACTACTTACAAATGACAACTTCTCATGAAGAAAAAATACCATTTCACCTAGAGGACTTCTCCGTTTATGAGTATGTGTCACACTGGACATGAAGAAAGCTTCTACAGGTGCATTAGTATGCATCATAATGAGGAACAGAGGAACAGTTTCCCCTCTTAGTACTAATCAACTATTGAGACTCATTTTCTTATATCCGTGTAAACGTGAAGTTTGTGGTTCAACTCACAACGGCATCACACCAGAACTCAGACACCTCGCCGATCCTCATGGACATCAGCAGGGTCTCCCAGACTTCCATCTTGAACATCTTTCCCACAAAGATCTCTGCTGGCCTGCATGCCAATCGACTGTCATCAATTACAGTTCGTTCAAAGTCGTCCAGCAGTGTCTGGAAATGGAAAACCAGCTGGAATGGAAGGAGGAGTCCGGGGGCATGGAGGGTTAAGAGGGATGTGAATGATGACTGAAACTACTCATACAAACTATCCATAAAACAATAAAATAAATGGTATCATGTTGCACAGTTTCTCAATCATTTACGCAGGAATTTGTTCTTTCTTTATACCGATTTCAGTTCTTGTTTTAATGAATATCTCTTGATATATTTCTTCACTACACTTGATGTTACACATCTTTTTACCATAAATTGAAATATTATTTCAGGCATGCATTTTCCCGGACCTCTTTTCCAGTGTCTAACGGATGGTGTGTTTTTTGGCCACAAAAAAATTATAGTTAATTAAGTAATTATCCTATTTTTTCAAAAGTTGAATTGGAAGGAATACTTTCATTATTTTCTTGTGTGAATAAAACATTCTGGTTTTCATTAGTTGATCCATCTGTTTGTGTGCATGTGATAGACCTACAAAGCCTTAACCATCACGCTTTAAAATTACATCGCCCCCTTGAAACCCTTCTAATTATAGCTTAACAGATTGTGTATTATGGACTGATTATGCATAAGCAAGTGGGAATCATTCACCCAAGGGGACACACACCAAACACAGAGGTAAATGGAAATTCAAGCTGACATGGTCATGGAAAATGTTTGTCACAGTGTCCAGGACCGGTGCCATATGGCTGGATTTGACTAGGACAGAAAAAAGAAAAGTCTGTGACCAGCGGATCAGTGGCCGAACAGAAACAAAGATACAATGCCAAAAAACATGTTGCAATTTGGTTGAGCAAATGTTTTCTCTGTGTGGAAGTGCCAGACACAGAATAAATTCCCTGACTTCATGAATAATTCAACAGAACCTAATAGAAGTGGGCAGAGCAACACACGGCTAAAAATACAGTTTTAGTGGAACATTGATTACAGTAAAATAGCAATTATGCAAAGATCCATTTTCTATCACACTCAGTTTAAATCTCATTTAATTTGGGTTATGGGGTGAAGTGTGACTTGCTACCTTTGCCCCAGGTGGAAAGTGTGGCAGCGGTCCCTTTCCTCCTGCCAGAATCTTCTTCTTGACTCCTGGATGGTTGAGCAGGTACGTCTCCTCCATCGTCCCTCTGCCTTCAGCAGTTTCAGACAGTAAAGTGTGTGTACTTTGGAGATGTCTTTTTTCCTCTTTAGGTTTTCTGGCTTTCTAATTAGTCTAGTAGAAGGAGTCTTGGCTGGGTTAGCTGCTCTCTGACAGATGGCAGGATTAGGCAGGGTTTGGAGGTGAACACCATAATCTCAGGAGCTAATCTCTCGCCTTCCCCTGTGATTGGTGGGACAATCCCTGCAGAAGGACCAGGAGACGTGGAAATGACCATCGTCCCTAGAAACAGGTTGACTAGAAAGTTCTAGATCACTCTCACCTGGGCTCAGATCATTCTGGAAGAGGGAAATCTGATGACGTAGATGATGATTTAGTGACGCAGCTGTGCAGCTATAAAGGGAGTTGTTATTTTCACACAGGAGAAGAGACGTCCATGCCCTTTAACCTTTAAACTACAGCTGCATCTTTTTTTTATTAATTTGATCCTTTATTTATTTCTTTAGATGTTTGCTACCAATTATCAGAAAATGACATCAGACCTGAAACTCCATGTTGCCAAATGGTTTAAGTCAAACCAACAGTATAACATGGGTTAGGGTTAATAATGCTTACAAAAGGCAAAGTAACAAATCTTCACATTGCATTGGGAAACAATTAAATCGTAAGCAATGAACTTGCATAAATTAGAATTGTTGGTTCTACAAACTCATCAACAAGTTAAAGCGTCACTATCACAATGATGTTAACCTTGTTTTAAGAGGGGGAAAAACAAGTTTATATTTTGCGTCAGTTGATTTTAATGCGTCCACATTCTCTTTATTTTGCTGACTTCTTAAACTAAGGGGAAGTTACATCAGTGCAAGAAATCAAATGTGATTTGGGTAAACTAGATAACCAGGGAATCACTCCAAACCACCTTTTTTAAGAAGCTAGCAAACTATTAAGAAGATGTTACTTTACAGTTTAACTGATAGAGGGTAAAATGTGGTTGGGTGGGAATTGGTCCTTTTTAACCCTCCAGGATGCAGGTGAGGAAGGGAATATAGAGATGAAGTCTTTCCCCTTCAAGGAGACCCCTGGGGACCTTAAATATATGTGGTAAATTATGGCTAGAGTTAAATATGTTTTAACCTGTTAAAAAAATCAACACATGAAAAAAACGGTTGTACAATATTAAGCATAAAAAAGTAATATAATTTAGTTTAACAACAGCTCACATAATTTGACCATTTTTTAAACATTGAAATTGAATCTATCTTGCTGCATAAACTCACAATCTCACACTTACTGCTTTGTGACAAACTAAGACTTGCAAAATGATCAATTAGCTGTAACTTGAACGTCATCCACAGAAGAGAGAAATGAATGACAAGAATTCAACTGCCAACATGTATAAAACTGCAAAGGTTCAATAACACTTCTTGAGTTTCCGATTCTTGAACATTTGTGTTTCGTGATTTATTCTTCTTGAAGGTGATGAAATTTAACCTCACACATTATTAATGAAAACATAGACAGTGTTTGCAGTTGAAGCCAACATAAGGCTTTAATCAGAACAACTAACATGTGTTCCACTTCATAAAACACTGATGTTTGATAAGAAATGAGTATGCTGTAAAATAATGCATAGAAATGACCAACTAAAAGGAATGACACAGCAAGTCAGCTCATAAAAACTTGAAACTGGATGATGGCTCTTCTTCTCCTCCTCCTCCTCCTCCTCACGTTTGCTAACTAGTGGCTGAGGATGACATGATGCTGCCCCCTGGTTGTCACTTCTCTATCAGAGAGTCCAGCTGCTCCTGCAGAGAGGCCAGCTGTTGGAGCAGAAAATAGAAGGCTTGATTGATATCCCCAAAGTCCCAGGGTGTAATTGAAGGGTAAGTGGACGATGATTAACATGTCTTTCCAAATTAATTCACTGCCTTCATTTGTCAATACAAACAACGACCCCAGACATTGGGTGGTCACTGTGTTAGAGCTGCAAAAAAAAGCACTCGCTGCTAGCTGCTGACATGTTAAATATCACATCATCTAGTGTGATCTTTGCTGGTTAGTCAGTCAACTGTATACAAAGGTCAGGGAGAACAGAATCGTCTACAGTATTTTACACTCACACAAGATAAATTCATGCAAAGTGCTGAACGCTGTAGAAAGCTCACAGCACACCACTGATCCCCCGTTTTCAAGAAAAAAAAAGATTCTTACCTGCTCCATCTCTCTCTCCTCCTGCTGAACAATCTCGTCCAACAAAGCTTGGAAGCGGTTCTGTGCGAGGAGAGAGACAAACACGATTTGTTCTGAGTCGACATGCTGAGCCTCATTAAATTGTGACGGCTTTAAATGGGTGTCTGCTTTGGCCGCTCGTGTCCCTATCTCCTCTCTGACAGAAAGGCCACTTGGAATGCCAGTCAGAGACAGCTGACCTTTTCCCTGCGACTGTGATAATAACGACGGGAGAAGGGGCTCTGACGCTGCCAAAAAGCCGGCTAAATGAAAGCTCTAAATAACAACGTAAAAGGGCCGTGTCTGCTTATGTTTTCGCTTATTGTAGTCCCAGCTAAAGAGCGCTTGGCGGAGCAATGCATTTTCATGCGATTTTTCTGCATAATCATGCTTATACAGCGAAAGAGCTGACAGGGGGAATATGCAAAGATTTAAATTTACTAAAAAAAAAAAAACCCTACATAATGGCCTCCAACACTGAGTAATCAGTTGTTTTTTATGCTTTCACATCACCGTTGAGAGCACTTACGCTGCATGAAGACTTCTGCCCCCAAGCTCATCTGCATGTTCTTGTTTATGTTTCTGTACATGCAGACCTACTTTCTGAACAACTGTGAAAAAGCATTTGTGTGTTTGTTTACTGCTTACTTTGAGGGCCTGGTTTTCCACTTTCATGATGAGCTCCTCCTGCTGTTTCTTGCGGGCACGGGTTTCCTGAAGCTTGCCCTTGACGCTGTTGATTTGCACCTGATACTCCATAACTGCAGGGAACAGCAAGAGGTGCATATGTTATGATAAAAAAAAAAGCATAAATGTAATTTACGTTTCTGCTTTCTTGTGCATGCGGAGTACACAGCCAAAGAGAGAGAGGGACAGAAAGAGAGATTACGATGTGACATAATGAAGAGCCAAACACTATACTAACAAAGCCATGAGGACAAGATATACGCCTTCACTTGCTGAACCACCAGGATGCTTCCATTTCAATTTGACAAATTGCAGTTAATGGGAACAACAAATCCATTTGAAAAGGACGTGAGCCAGCAGGCCAAAGCACTAAAAGACAACTAAATCAGTCTGCTCTGCGTTCCACCTAGGGTTCTCATCGAATGCAGCTAAAGTGAGATAAGCAACAACCTGTGGCTTCATTGCCATTAACTATCCAATTGTTTCCATCCTCTATTCAGCCAACTGACTCTCAATCCTCTGATACAGACCATCTAACAAGCAATCTATCAAGTGAGGAAGATCCCCGCAGGTCAATTTCATACAGCTTCACAGCTATTCCAACCACACGCACAGCCTGACCTCAACACATCTGGAAAGGCTTTGGCGGGCAGCTCCGTTGGAGATGACCACTACTGTTGCTGACTGACTGCTCTGTGTATGTAGATAAGGAGGCATTGAGCTGTCAGACTGGACAGCTGTCTGAGCTGAACGCTGAGCCCAACACCTGTCGGGCGGGTTAGGAGAAGAGGAGAGCTGTCAGTTTTTGCATCTCAGCAGGCCAGAGTAACATGTGAATTAAAGGGCTACTCATTTGATTTTGTGTATATGTGTGTATGTGTGTGATGTCTGACCCAGAAAACTCAGCTCTGATTACAAGTTCAGACACCTGGCTGAGGCTATTTGCATGAAATTAAATCACCTGCAGAGGTTTGATTTAATTATTTGTTGAACTGTGTCCCTCTAGAAACCGACATGTCAGGTTCCTCAGGTCTGTTTGCACTGCCACTGTAAACACAGGTTAGTCTGCATTCACAGTGAAGTATTGTGCTAATTGCAAGCTTAACAGGAGAGATTGCATAATTCTCATGCTGTTCTTACTTCATCCTCATAGGTATACTACAGAGATGCCACTGTCAGGAAATTTCCCTCTTAATACATTTTTGACAACAGCGTTGTTACTGATTTCAGTGAAGAATCTAACAAGAAATACATTTGCAGATTCCACTCACTCAACTCCCCTGCACAGCGCCAACTTACTTTTACTTTATATTATCCAGAATTAGGGCAGCTGTGGATCAGTGGTAGACCTGGTCGTCTCTCAACTGGGAGGACGGGGATCGATCGCGAGCTACTGCACATGTCGATGTGTCCTTGGGCCAGACACTTAACGCCAAGTAGCTCCTGCTGCTATGTCTATGGCGTTTGAATGTGTATGAATTGATTAATTAATACTGATGGACACTTTCCATATCAGCCTCTGCCGTCAGTGTTTGAATGGGTAAGCGTAAAAAGCACTTTGAGTCGTCAGAAGCTTAGGAATATGCTCTACAAGCTCAAGTCCAGATACCATTCAACAATCGTCTCTTCTTCCTCTCCTCATAGGATAAGTAAACTCTGACTCCTACTCTATAATGTGGCTTGTAAATGTGTATAGATGGAATAAAATAATACTAATGGGCACCTTACATAGCAACCTCTGCCATCAGTGTGTGAATTGGTGAATATGACCTGAAGTGTAAAAGCAGCTTTTTGTAGTCTAGTAGACTAGAGAGCGCTGTACAAGTCCAAGTCCATTTGCCAAAAAAACAGCAAAACAACTGTAGGGTGTCAGCCAAGTCATGTTATATGTGCAATCCCAGAGTCCTGGTTAAACTGACCACTGCTGCAAGCTCAATATCTACATTGAGACACATTTTCCAGGAGACATTATGCATGTACACTCTCAGTTTTAGTGCAGATGACACAAACATGTGTCTTTTACCATTTGCATTGTGCACAGATATCATGCATGTCATTATAATTGTTCACCGCCTTTGAGAGCAACCATCCCCATTTCCAGAACC